GGTATGGCGGACATAATTGCCGCCACGGGCAGCGCAGCGCTCTGCTGGGAAAGCCGGCGTTTTGAGATTTTACAGGTTAAGAACTCAGTAATTTAGCGACTTTAAATTTTCAAGCAATGTATAGTTATTGCAACTGCGAATGCTGTACTTTTTGATGCTGATTGAGACTGGTTGTATGATGGGATGGGTGCGGATTTTACATCTCTCATGCAAGAGCCAGCTACAAATTTACCCTTAATGGTAAATGTGTATCTTAGCAGAGCGCTGCGCTGCCCGTGGCGGCAAAGGTTAATCTTCGGTTATAAAATTTCTCATAACAAATCGAGCAAAGCGCGTTCTTGTGCGTCGCATAATAATCCGGAAAGATGATCGGCGACTTGAGTGCGGCTGAATAATTAAACGGTCCTGGCTTTATGGAGCCACTATGTCAAAAATTATTCCGCTGCCCGCCATCGTGATTTATAGCAGCATCAACTGAAAATGACAGCGTTTGTACGTTGTATACATATGCATGTTTGTACGTTGTATACATATGCCGAGTATACGTAATTCCATGATCTCACGATTTGCTAACTGTGAGAAGTGGAACATTCGACTTGGAAGACTTTCACGCAACACAATTTTCACTTGCACATACTTATGTACATATTCGTACTATCTGCTGCAGTAACTGGAAAACTGATGATACTGGCGGTGTTTTGCAATTTTTATGGGTCGTACAGCTTTCTACCTACACCTGCTCTAGTATTCCCCGTAGTTGACCGGCATATACCGGTATAATGCTTTTATTCGGGCAATAGCCAATCAACATAACAACAAGCCTGCGCTGGTAGACACTAACTAAAAATTTCCAAATTCACACATTGAAAAAACAACCAAAATCATGACTGTCACTTCCAGCTTTCGGTCGCCCGTTTAATGTATCCAAGACAGCAGCCGCATTTCCTTTTATAACAGCGAGGCTGAAACGTTGTCTAAGGAAGGCTGTGGATCGAGATTCGCCGGTTAAATCGCGGATTTTCCTACCGACGAAACGTATCATCTCAGCAAAGGTTGGCCCGAAAGTTCCAAACGTTTCAATTGCGAGGGGATAGAACATATATCTCATATCCTCTACAAATCCGTACTTCCGCCGCTTAAAGTCTTCCGCTAGCTGTGCCACGCTGCCTGACTTCTTCGAGCTGGCTTTCACGTGCGACATAGCCACGGTGTCCCAGCAGGTAGCGTCCCATACTACCGCTTTTCCATCACGCACGGGTATCAGCGTCATGCCGTCTGGGCGCTGATTGGTCTTGTCTGACAATCCCGATATAATTATGTAGCTGAACGGTATATACCGGTATATACTTCAGAACACGAAAGAATATATATATATTTCGTATTCTGCTAATTTGGCAGCGGATGATTCATGGGAATTTTTAAGAAAAACTACCCCAACTTCCCGTTGATTCACGAAGTAGCATTGTTTGCTACGTTTGCCATCTTCGATTTTGCATTCCAGCGCTCTGACACAGGCAAGCCGTTCAACAATCAAAGATACATAAGATTAAAGACATGAGACATTTATTAAAAAGGTATGATCAATAAGGTATCGCGCGCTGGTATGCCAAGTCACAGGAGGTGTTGCAAAGGTGATATTAGGAGTCAAAGGTGGTAAGAAGGCGGCACTTACTAGAATCCTACGGTGGTATAAAGGTGGCATCCGGAGCCATACCTTATTTTGATTTGCCATGCCTTCATTTTGCCATACGGTTATACGTTGCCCATAATTTGCCATACGCTGAAGTGTCAGTGACCGGACACGCCCTGTAACTGCCCACCGTACTACATAGCAGAGCGAATGAGTGACCTTTTGCCGACTATACGGCTACCGAAAGCTGTCGCCGGAGTCAGCCGTTCTCATACCGTGCCGTCTCCGCGTATATAAGGAAGATGAATCTGTCGAAGGACAACGCTTTCCGCATCAGTGTTGCGTTGCGGCGTCTGGGAGCGCCGATCGTTACTCCACTCGTGTGCGCTCATCGCTTTATTAATAACCAACACACATTTCTGGTAAGAAAAGAGAACACGTGATATTATTTACAACAGCAAAACTTCATTCAAACTATCCACTCCATCCATCGTACCAAGGATAGATGCTGCATTTCCGCGTTGAATCTCCAGCGATAGTCGTTGGCGCAGGAACTCATGTGATCGACGCTCTCCTGTGTGCTGTTGCAGCCTTTTTCCCAGTTCCTTCACAATAGCGATAGCCGCCGGACCCCAAGGGCCCATCGTCTCAAAACCAATCGGGGAAAAGATGTAACGCCCTTCCAGATACGAGTACAAATGGGACTTTCTCTCTTCTGCTTGTGCTGCTGCAGCACCTGCCGTAATCGACGTAGACGGGATATGGGAGAGGGCCATTGTGTCAACACACGTCACATCCCATGCTAGACACATTCCTCTCTTCCAGGCGAATGTCGTACATCCGTCAGGGCGTCGATTTGAAGTAGAAGACGTACCGCGCGGTTCCAGCTTAGCGGGGACGCCGGCAGAAACACAAGCCCGACATATAATGCTATTTAAACCTCCGTGACGCGCATGCCTACCGGCTGAGTAGCTGCACGATAAGCCGTGATGGCCGAGCTTGTCCACATGCTTTTGACATTTGGTGCAATTATGTGGCTCGCAAATATCCGCTCCAAGACGCAGACCGATTGAAATTTTAATCGTCTCATCATCGAGTAGATTGCCGATGTGTGCTGAAGGAAGCGCATTCAACCAAATACCGGCTTCGGGTCGGGATTGCGCAAGGAAGCGGGCTGTGTTAATGCAGTCGCCTCGGAACAAATCCAATAAAACAGAAGCAGAAACATTACAGAGCGGTAAGTCCCAAGTCTTTTGGAGCTTTCGGAAGCCAAATTCTGGCAATTCTGTTTGGCGGTTTGTTTTTCCACAAATCTATCGCAACAGACGTGTTAACTGCCGGAAGGCGAGGAAGCAATGACGATAACAAATCGGATGCGGAGTGAATCGAAGCCAAATAGGCTGGAAGTGATAATTCCTCCGCCCGACGTATGTGTGCGCTTGTGATGGGCTGGTCGGCGAATTAGGCCGGCATGGGCTTCGCGGGAAGCGGTCTGCCGGAAGTCGACCATGACACGACGGAATCAGCGCGGAATTTACTTCAGGCCTGAGGTCAGCCGGCTTCCCTTCGAGAATGGAAGCAAAAGGTCTATCCGGGAAAGATAAGAAGAGGCCGGATGTGATCACCCTTGTTCCTTGGAAGTGCGGAAAACCGTTGGCCGTGGATGTTAGCTGCGTGGACACGCTGGCGGCCTCGCACATATGTCGACCGCACCTTCGTGAACGCCGGTGCAGCAGCCAAACTCGCGGAAAGAGGAAAACTAGCGAGAAACGCCTGGCTGCAACTAAGATACGATTCCGTCACTGCAGCCGTCAAAATTTACGGACCTTGGGGCGACGGAATTAAAAACGCTAATGCAGAAGGTTGGAAACGGTCCAGCGACTTTCACTGGCCAGAAACGGACGAAAGAGTTTTTTAAGCAGCGACTATCTATATAGTTACAACGGGGAAACGCGATTTGTGTAATGGGTACGATCCCCGATCAGGATAGCACAGAGGAAGTTTTTCTGTTATAAATTCCGTTTGTTTGGTACATAGTTTGTACGTACTCGCATTAGTTCGTACGTACTGTTCGACCAGACTTGAAGTCCCCTTGGGGTTGTCTGCTCTTGTGCTGTAATAATAATAATTATGATACTTAGTAAAGGTATGTTTTACTGTATCCATACAGACGTCCATGCTCCTAAAATTGCAGTTCTAGTTGTGTAATTTGCACCGTCTGAGTAATCGGCCTTTTTTTCAATCGCGAGATGGGCGGTGATCGTTCCACTCTGTAATCACAGCCACGCAACGAGCCGGTGAACGGTAAAACTCAACGGTACAACGGTACTGGAATAAGGATGAAGGGTTTCCCACAGAACAACAATAAAAGTGCTGAGACAGACGTTGTGATCAATGCACAAGAGCCGGTGCAGTGTCAGTGACCTGTACGCCCTGTAATTACCGTATATCTATAATTAACCACCGCAAATGTAACCAGCACAGGGGATGAGTGACCTTTGCCAACGGGCTATAATGCTAGCAGAAGCGGTAGCCGCTTCCCACACGTATAATAAGGAAGAGGAAAAAAGAGTTTAGGGAGATAGGTTTTATTTACTATGCAGTATGCAGTGCGTATCGCTGGCGCCGGACGACACCGCCCAATTAGCCGCCACTTCACATCGGCGCTGTTGGCAGGGAGGCGCCACTGATTGCCGGCTGTGCTACGCTGGCAATAACTATCCTCCTGGGCGGCCATCCTCCTCCGGCCGCAGGATGAACGGTGGCGAGATGCACATATGGTATGTAATTATATCCACGAGAGCCCTTGACTCGATCGAGAGGCGAACGGGGGAAGGATGCATGCCATACTGGTGGGAAATGTGCCTCGTCCGGATGCGAGTCGCTGATTACTGTGTAATACCGTACATGTCGCCGTGTTTCGCCGGTATACTATCTGTATCTGATGCAGCACAGCGACGTTACTCAGGAAGACGACGACCCGAGCGACCGGCAGTCCACAGTTAACGTTATAACCTATAATTATCAGCAACATGTAGTCATTCTTAACGCTCGGATTGCAGTACAGAATCATAAACCTCAGTTTTGTTCTTGATCAGAACCGAATTCTCCTTTTATTTATATATAGGAGTTCTTGTGTATATGTAAGTACACAATATGTCCGGTTGAGTTGCGTTTACCGGTTAAACCGGCACTCCGCGGTAATCAAGTTGAATGTTGTTATATGCATGTAAAACAGTCAGTCGGTTCTTGGCAGAAGCGCATTTACTACCAAATATGTCGTTTGCCCTGCAGCCGATCCGCCGCGTTATTAATGTATTGTCTTAATGTTTGTCGATCACCTGTGTACCGGCTATTAATTACTCGCTGCCGGCAGTACGCGCTATCTTGCGGTGTGTTTGTTGATTTGTTGACGAAGCGAAGAGCAAGGTAATTAAGCACTATATTGGTGCTTTACAAGCACTGCTGACTCATATTCCATCGTCTCCTGGAAAATTTAAAGTCTTCCGTCAGTTTAGTTCCAGCAGCGCGTTGAAACCAAGGAGTGATAAGGAAAATGTTGGTGTTGCGCGGGAATTATACGGATGGCATTCCATCGGTGGAGCCCAGCGGGAACGCCAGCCCAACGGCGGGCAACGCGACGCTGGCGGCCTCCGAGGCGGATCTGACCTTCGTGGTGCTGGCCTTTTGCTACCCGCTGCTGCTGGCGCTCTGCACCGTCGGCAACGGACTGAACCTGTTGGTGCTGCTGCTGGAGAAGAAGAAGAGCGCCGCCAACTGCTTCATGACCGCCGTCGCCGTCGCTGACCTCACTCTCCTGTAAGTATGAACGTACGTCACGTGACCACACGACGGCGCTTGCGTATACAGATAGAGTAGAAAATTACAATAACTGGATTGCGGCGGCTCTGAATCGCTGCAGAGCAGCCAACGTTTGCATTCCAAATGCCGCGGCCGTCTGGCACAGAAAGACGTCGTTGGTCTGCTGCTTGAAAAAGACTTGCGAAACAAAACGTGCGCCATCGCATACATTAACAGTACGGAAACGGAGTACATGTGGACTGCCCTTCCACTCGCATTCAGATACTGTACACTTACGCTCTACGCTCAGACCATATGCGTTTTGACCAGTCCGAGCGACTTTGCCCTCTCCTGTGTCTTTTGATAGGGAGCAGGGAGCGCAGCAGAGCAGACGACCAGGACCTACATGTTCAAAAAGGCGATTTGGACCGGGCTGCAGAGCGTTGCAGAGGACGGTCTGCAAGCCAGACGGGGTCTGACTCAGACCGCTTGCCATTTTTATTGCCTCTGCAATGCAAACTATCCCTGATTTGTAGCGATTTGAGAGCCGCCGCAATCCAGTTAATAATGGACTATTTTCTTGCAATAATTATCAAATCTATGTATAGGGGGAAAAACTAAGCGTGTTCCACGGTTCCCCTGTATTTCTGCCGTCACTCGCCTGGAGTGTGACGTTACGGCAATACATATGGTTAAATCTGGCGCGGTACATAAGCGCCATGTTTAGCCACAACGTCAAACTCCAGCCGGGTGACGGCAGCACTACAGGGGAACCGTGGAACACGCTTAGTTTTGCCCCATATATACATATACGAAAAGCACACATACTGTATTCGCTCGCACATCTTGAACCACAGAGTGTGTGTACGGGAAAAACACGCATTCAATATACACACTCTTACCGGGCAAAATGCACGACTACGAAATATTCCTCATCTGGAAGATGAACAGTTCTTCTTGTGAATTTGCTTAACAAATCAAGACTTTTCGTTTAAATGGCAATTCACTCTGGAAAAAAAGGTTCTGTAGCTGAAAGCTCGAATTGTTCGGTGGTTCATCGCCATCAAGAATGTTGACGCGGAACGTACCCCTCCCCCTTCAGGGGCACCACAAAAACCACAACAAATCCGTTTGTAACTCGTGCTCACGCCAAAGCTGTATGTAAATGGCTGCTTTCGAGCATAAACATGACAAAAATTGTTAGAGCTCTAATTTTTTTTATTATTCAAGAAGTTCTCCAGTCCAGATGTTGTAAGACATCAGAAATTTATCAAATCGCGAATCGCGCGTTTGGCCCGGTTATAGTGTGTATCAGACCTGTGCAGTTATGGAAAACTGACCCAGAGTTAGAGTTAGGAGTTATAGGGAGCGTGCGAGTTACGCTACGAGTTACGCTATTAATGCAAGTAAACCGAGTTTCGAGTTATTCAGCGAGTTACGCTACCATAGACAATACATACAATTTTTGAGCGAGTTACGCTAGAGTTAAGTTTTCGGGGAGACGAGTTACGCTTCAGAGTTACGTTATAACTCGATAACTCGAAAATAACTCGCGTTACGTTAAATAGTTAAAAATAACTGCACAGGTCTGGTGTGTATATTGAATGCGCGTTTTTCCCGTACACGCACTCTGTGGTTCAAGATGTGCGAGCGAATACAGTACATATACGGTGCAGCATATACTGTAAAAAGCACCTATACGAAATATATTATACACTTATACAAAATCTATATACATATTAACATATATAAAAAGTATATATGCATATATACAAACAGTATCTATATCTATACATGTACAAAATTATATATACTATATCTATATGTGCTAAATCAATCTATGTAATGCTGCTTGTATAAATATGTGTATATGCGAGTATATGTAAGGAGGTAAAAAGATAGTGGTGATGTATAAAGCATTCGTGTGCAGATGGTCCGGTGTGTTCATGTACATCTGGAACACCAGCAGCGTCCTCCACACCACCTACGCCAGCGATCTTGCCAAGCTGCAGCTGTACTACAGCGGGCGCTGCTATTTCCTGTGGGCGCAGGAGTGGTCCATTCAGTTCTGTGACTGGTACGTTTCCACTGTTTATTGCCACTTGACGCAATATGCGGGACATGGTGATTAAGCTATAGTGAAAGTATGTCGAGTGCCTTCATACATGGACACATTTAATTACAAATCGACGATATTGCAGGACCCTGATTGTCTTCTCCCTGGAGCGCCTGCTAGCCGTCCTCTACCCCTTCCGCTTCCGCTGGCTGCAGGCCGCCTGGCTGTCCCGCCTGCTCATCGTGGCGGTCTTCCTGCTGACCGGCGCATTGACGGTCTTCAGTTTCGTCATCGACTATATCCGCTGGCGCCACGACGCCTGGACCGACGACGCCCGCCTCCCGGCCTGGGTGCGCAGTTGGCGCAGCCTCCAGGGCACCGCCGAGGTAGGTCCCGGCGTTCGGGGAGACACCGCCCGAAAGGTCACCCACCTGTCGCTTTCTAGTTGACCATCTTCTTGTGCAAATTCTTCGGCTTATTCCTCATCAACGCCATCGTCATCGTCGCCCTGCGCCGGCAGCAGCAGACGGAGGTGGGTCGGATGCGGCTGGAACGCTGCAGCAGCGCCGCCCGGGAGCACCGGCAGACCACGCTGCTGCTGGTGGGCAGTGTGGGGCTGTATTTATTCGCCTGGTTCCCCAGTGTGGTCTACACCTGTCTGCAGCTGGCGGAGCACGTCCGCGCGGTGCGGCTGCTGTCCACGCCGGTGTGCTACGTCTTTATGTACGTCAATTATTCGGCCAACTGCCTCGTCTACGCCCTGGTCAGCGCCAAGTACCGCGAGGAGCTCCGGCGGATTCTGGCGCCGGTTATGTGTCCGCTGTGGCTGCGGGAGCGTTTTCGGAGCGTGCATGCTTCGTTGTCGCTGAATCCTCGCGGGAGCGTCGGCACGGTGACGTCCAGTGTCGGCGACAATGAGATCCCGCTGAAAGGTGACCGGAAGTGCGTCCGCAACAAAGAGGCCAAAAGTCAGGACCGTAATGAAACAGTCAATTGAAAGAGCTTATTCTTCCTAGTAGCGCACAAATATACCGCATACTTAAAAATTAATATTATATGGATTTTATTAATTTTTATACCGCACACTTTGTACTGCATTAAGTAGCAGACGGCTGAGCATATACAGATCTTTGATGCATGGCTTGTTAAATAATTATTGGATAGTTGAACGGTAATTTAGAAAAAACCGACAGACAACAGCGCTCATCTAACAGCCAACAACTGATAATTCCAAATACAAGCAATATAAGCAATTTGATCAGTATAACCGTAGTCAAGCTGAACAGACAGAAGAGCTACTCTCTTTCTCTCTCTCTGAGCTCTATCACTCTGTCTGTTCAGCTTGACTACGGTATAACGAATTCATCAGCTTCCGCAGACGCAATTAATTGTAACATGGATAGTAACCATAGTCGAGCGTATGCAGTTTGCGTATATACATACCAATCGACGCTACGCCAATACCGTATAGCAGCAGGCTGCCCAAGGTCAAACCCAGTATTAGACAACTTTTTTGCAAATGTTGAGCATGAATATGAGGCGGAAACTCCAGTGCGGGTTGTTTTTGTCAGTGTTGATCAGTTTATACGCGATATGGTGTTGATGAAGGATGACAAACGCAAATCCAGAAAGGACGAGACTGGCAATTGTCGAGTGTCGTATTATCAATGCGGTACAGTATATATACAGTCTGGACTGTAACTAATATTAGTGTTGATGAGAATCCGCGCCCGGACCACGATACTGTAATGATTTAGCGATTTTATTTTATGACCCTTGAACATTTTATGACACACTCCATGATATACATATTTTCATCATTCTCTACATTTTATGCACAGAAGAAGTTGAGCAGAATGCGCCGAACCGAGACTATCACTTCCTCCAGGCGCGCAGGTTGTCCAGACGTCGCGAGACGGAGGCCATCCGGACGGAATGCGGGTTGGCCAGGATCAGCTCCACGAGCCAGTCCATCACGTGCGACACGCGCCCGTTCACGCCGGGAAACTTGGGATCCGCGCAGCCGCTATACAACGAATTAATTATATATCACTGCATATTGCAGAGGTCACCGTTTGCTTAATTAAGGCAACAAGACGCACGATATAATATTACCATATCTTGTAAAGGTCACCGGTTAATTAAGCCGTAACTTATAAATTAAGTAACTGATTAACTAAACGCGGTATATGACTACATCTGGAAAAGGTCACCAGTTAATTAGGCCGCAGCTGATCGATTAATTAACCAGTTAACCAGTTGCGGTATATGACTACATCTTGTAAAGCTCACAAGTTAATTAGGTCGCAGCTGATCGATTAATTAACCCGTTAACCAATTGCGGGATATGGCTACACATTGTAAAGGTCACCGGTTAATTACGGCTACAACACGCCCACGACTAAACAGTGTCAAGGTTTCTTAAGCCGCCTTACTAGGCCCACGAGACGACGCCGGTCAACTCGAAGCGCAGCGGATCCTCCGGCGTGCTGCACTGCAACGGCCCGCCGCTGTCGCCCTGACAACTGCAAAACAAAGACCACGTGACCACGGCCCGTACAACGGAAGATCTAACTATGGGAACCTGTCGCCGATGTTCCGGGCGCAGAGCATATCGGGCGTGATGAGGCCGGCGTAGGCGCGATTGCACTGCTGCCGGTCGACGATCTTGACGTCCACCTGGCGCAGGGTGTTGCTGGTGGCGCGCAGGAGATTTCGACCCTGCCAGGTGTTGGGCCGGACGTCGCCCCAGCCCGTGATGTAGCAGCGCTTGTCCACCGGCGGATCGATGGGTGAGGGCAGGCAGATCGGCAGGATGTCGTTCTCATCGAAGAAGATCGGCTGTACAGTAATTAAAAATTTAGTTAATTGGACAATGCATTATTTGGCACTTTCAGAGAAAGGCCAAGCAAGGCGGGTGCGTACCTTGGCGGTCTCCAACAAGCAGAAGTCGTAGGTGGTGGGATGGGTGTTGTATTTGGGATGCATGGTCATGCGGCGCAACGTGTAATCGCGCTGGTTGGGTTCTATCTGCTGGTACAAATGGTGCTCACCCACGCGGACGCCCAGAATGTCCACACTATGGTAAAGGTCACCACGTTGTGCTACTACCGCACCGGCTTATTGGCTGAATGCCGATAGAACTCACGTGTTGCCCTCGCAGCAGTGCGCCGCCGTCATAACGTAGAAGTGGTCAATCTGCGTTCGAGACACCGCCCGTCAAATAGCTTTACAGTAAATGAAGGCGGGATTACTTACGATGGTGGCGCCGCATTCGAAGCGGCCGTACTTGAGCAGCACGGCCTGCCAGGGCCAGCTGTGCGGACGTGCCTGTACAACTGCTTTATCTGTTACCGGCTTCGTATATATTCCAATAACGGGAAGTTCACCTCGACGCCGTGGACGATCTTGTTGGTGGCGCTGATGTAGGGGCGGGTCTTGGCTTTGCCGCAGTCCTGCGGGCAGAATTCGTCCGTCCCATTGGGACAGTTAGCCACGCCTACACCAATCACCGTGCTTAATGTTTTTGGCGCAAAATGCGTTACCTTTCATATCTTACCGTCGCACATCATCCGCGGGTGGAAGGCGCAAAGGTCACCGGTGGGATCGTTGGGACAGCCGACGTATTCCGCGTTGCACGGCGCCACTGCATCAAAAACATCATTCGCACTTTGGCAAACCGATTAAACTGCTATGCCGGAGCTAACCGTGAACGGTCAAATTGAATCCCGAATACTCGGTCGTGGCGTCGCTGACGAAGCGGATCTCCTGGCGGTGAAATGTTTTTCAGGGGAACGGTAAAGGTCACGCTTAAACATGCCTGCTCTTACCACGGAATTCCCATACGATCGGTATTGTTTCGGACCGTTCATTCCGTTATAATACTGCGTCTCGCCGCCTACAAAATGTTCATTACCGAATTATTATGGACAGGTCCCTTCTTAATTATCTTCGGTAACTGACAGAAATTTATTCCTGTTGTCTCCATTTCTGACAATAAATTCGCAGTAGTCTCTTATTCTCAGAAATTCTTACGGGAGAGATCGGTGATGGCCAGGTAATCAGTGAAGGCGCTCGGGTTGAAATCCACCCCGAACTCCATATCAAACGTCACAGCCGTAATCTACGAAAAAATGCAATTCCTAAGAACATTCCTGAACATTTGCGTTGTGTGATACTAGTCAGACAGCAATACCTCGATGGCGATGGACGGCGGCGCTGTGACGGTCCACTGACACTGCGTGTCGGGCGGGTAGCTGGCCGGGTGGTAGGGCGATACTATGCTGATAATCTCCCCCGGGAGAAGCGTTAGCTGCTGGTCCCGACAGGCCACTTCCGGTTTGGCCGTCGTCGGTGGGGGCAGCGTGGCCTGCTCGTCCGTGGCGTTGAACTGCAGCCGAAAGCCGGCACTATGTCATAACGATAGCAGCCAATCAGCGTCTTCCGCTCGTTTCGTTGGTTAGCGGTAAAACGACGTATACTAACCCAGCCACACTTCCATCCGTGCCTATTAGCGAAGGACGCGATTATTTCATTTATTGATCACAACCGGAAGTCCACCTACAGAATTCGACGACGAGGGAAGAGCCGTTGAAGACCAACGACCCGGGCGACGTTTCCCCGCAAAACGGACCTAATGACAGGGGTGTGTTAGCAGCGAGCGCGGCAGTAAAGGTCAGCGCGCGCACCGGCGAGGTTGTTGTTCTGCAGGAGCTGGTCGAAGGCCGGTCCGTGGAAGTCCCAGGCGCAGACGTCGACGGCGGTGCGGTTGGGCGTGTAGAAGGTCAGCGTGTCCACGTAGCAGCCGCCGCTCTCCAGGGGGTAGCCCTCCAGGCCGAAGGCGCCCGCGAAGCTCACCAGGATGTTCTGCAAGCACATTACTCAGTATATATACATATATGCGCGCAGACAATTATTTTGTTGCCGCATAAAATTAAGCAATACTATGCATACTTTGCCTGGTGGCACGTTGATGATGAAGCGGCACTTGGCGCTGTTGGGGTAGCCGTGCTGCGGGTAGTCGTAGTACGGGGAGGCGATGACGCCGCTGGACAGGCTGATCACTTCCGGCGCTTTGCAGCCCAGTTCTGCGCCAACGATTCCATTAATCATCCCCATAGGCATCACTGAGTGGTCAAGCACAATTGCGGACGATTGTACTGTACCATTCCGACTCACCTCCGACCGCGGCGGTCTTTCCCAGGAACAGCAAGACGACAAACAGCGCCAGTTTCCCCACGTCCATGTTCGATGCTGGGATGATAATGTGTTCATACACAGCGATACAGGCCGCAGTCAATTCCAGCTGGACAGTTTATTAATTACGACAACAGTGCCTGCTGCGGAAGCATGCAGTATATACAACTGCATTTCCCATTATAATTATGCTCGTTGGCTTATGCGCAACTCTGAGGTTGTTATCCGTGTCGAGCACAGGCTTATCCAGACCCGATAAGCGCCGACAATGGGACAATGGTACGGCCTGTTTGAAGCAGCCTTCGCTACCGTGCATTCTACGCATTGTATTGTACACTGGACGCAGTACTGATATTTAGATAAGGCCTTATTCAAGATTACGTGACCAACTTCCGCCCAATTTGCATATCTGCCGTTTTACTGCCGTTGTCATTCAACTAGTAAATCAACAAGTACAGGGAGTGTTGCGTACTGGGCACATGATAATACGTACTTTGTGTAACGTCTAGGATCTCTTTTTTGTTTCAGCGGCTAAGTTTAGAGATTTGGCGTGGTAATGCTCAGTTGGTTTTGGCGACCGTCTCCTCACGCACCAACTGGGATCAATATGTGAATATTATTTTTGTGACGCTGTCCACTATACTCAAGGTTAATAAAACTATAGACCGTCACGAATCTGGATTTAAGCGTAGCCAACTGTTAGTGTGTAACAGCATACGAACTATCTTTTTTATACTAGATGGACTTTTCATTTGGCCACAACCGATTAATCGCATACAATACAGAAAACACAATATAAGTATAACAAAACACTTTCGGTTTATCAGTTCCTTCCATACCCTCGTCAAAACGTTTGTTCTAAACTGTATCAACATACCTCAAATGTTAAGCCGTTTATCATAAAATGTGCCGACGGCATGATTTTGGCAGCAGATCTTATGTAATGATTTATATCATTACGAAAACATATCGAAGTTACAAAATTTATTCGAAGCTCGTACCCGCGTCTTCGCAACAGTTTAGCCAAAACGTTAAACAGAAGCAAGCGCAATACAAGAAGAACAAAAGAACAAAAACTTTGTCGGTCGACCGTCATGTAAGTAAACAATATCTCGCTTAGCAAGAAACAATTCCAGAAAAATAAAAAAAATAAACCAGCCAAATTCCAAGATTAGCACTACGACCGCCCATGTTAATTGCCAACAGTCCAGACACCGTCGCGGTTCTGGTTCATTGCTAATAACAATGTAAGATATTGCAGCTAAAGCGAAAGCTTTGTCGGTCGACCGACATTGATCGCCTCGCCTCGCCACATAACCTAAAAAGCGATTTTGATCCATGTGTCGCCGATATAGAGCATCATAGCTTTTCTGCCGAACCTTGTTAAGTAATCAGTTATCAAGGCATAGTTTCTGTGCAAGGACATGATCGGTCGACCGACAAAAATTATCTTAAAAGCAAAAATCGCAAAAAAAAGCAAAAATCCTTCGAAACAAAAAACAAACTGCTCCAGTTTACCTAGTTGGAGGCAGAACGTTAACGACAAAATACCTGACACTGCCCACGCGGTGGCTGCATCACTTTTGCTGCCGACCACGCTCACATAACCTAAAAAGCGATTTTGATCCATGTGTCGCCGATATAGAGCATCAAAGCTTTTTTGCCGAACCTTGTTAAGTAATCAGTTATCAAAGGCATAGTTTCTGTGCAAGGACATGATCGGTCGACCGACAAGAATTATTCTTAAAAGCAAAAATCGCAAAAAGGAAGCAAAAATCCTTCGAAACAAAAAACAAACTGCTCCAGTTCACCTAGTTGGAGGCAGAACGTTAACGACAAATACCTGACACTGCCCACGCGGTGGCAGCATTACTTTTGCTGCCGACCACGCTCACCGTAGGCTACTTTCATGCTGTTTCTGATTGGCTGCATGGCAGTTTCAGTGCTCATCGCAAGTTCACGTTCGGAGCCGTTGCGCCCAAGCTGATTTTGACAGCAAGTTTTGGTAATGACAATTCCCGACTTTTTTATCTGTGCTTTTAAAATGGTTTCTGGTATTTTGTTTGAATCATTGACGTTTTTGGTTTTATGGCTGTCGACAGCTAAATTTTATTTCAAAACGTTTAAAAAACACTGCTAGTGTTGAAATTTATGCGTGACAGTGATTTATGCGTGGCACTGTCACGCACGACATGCTTATGGATATAAGTGCAACGTTCGACACAGTCTGCAATGATGCGAGGACCCACAGCGATTTTGGACCAGTTCTAGGGTAAAACCTTATCGAAAAGCTTCCAGTTTAAACGTCATAAAGATAACACGTGTCTAACTATTGTGTGCGTTTTTATTTCCAGATTCTTGGGAGGCTCTGCTTAGATGGACAATTGTGCATGAGGACATGCAGTAAAGCAACAGGTAATGCAATTGTGTAGTAGAGCGCTATTTTCAGCTGCAAAACGATAAAACAAATTTCGATTCAAGGGAACATTAGTCGTTTTTTGTTACCTTAAACATAGGAAGCGAGCAGAAACTAAATATTTTACTAAAGAAGTTTTCCCTAGGTATTTTGAAGTGCAAGAGGGACAACTTTAACGTATTAAAATTTGAGTTGATTTAAGAATTTTTTATTGCTTATTTGCATGTCGACATGCATATGTCTTTCTTATCGCTTATTTGCATGTCGAGATGCCTGTTTCAAAAGGTGCAGTCAGTGCGTAATTGGTAATTTGGTGGTGCGTATATGAAGTGTCCATAACTTGTTTTTGCCATTTTTCTGATTCTTTTTCAAATAATAAATTTTTAAAAAATAATAAATGAATTTAATGCGTTGTTCCTGCACTGTCCTAACCATTGCAGTTGGCTCATAAAACAATACAGAATGTTTATGTCAAAGTGTCGATTTTTCCATTCGCTTTATTTATTGGCCAAATGCTCCGTTAACAAAAACAGAAATTTTTAATTTAGGATTTTTTGTTTGAAAATTGCATGTCGACATGCACAGCAATTTTGTTGCCCCAACACGCAGCGCTTTTCTATAAGGAATGACCGTTTTTGAATGCAGTAAATCTGGAATGCAGCATCTGTTTCGTTTAAGTAAAACTTGAATGCAATTGTTGTGCATCTAAAAATATCATATTGTAAGTAAGATAACCATGCTGATGGTTTAAAATTTAAATGTTTTGCAGGGCAGGTGAAGTATTGCATTCCAGGTCCCTTGCCAGACGCGAATTCACTGAAAAGTGCGTGGATGTCGACATCCATGATTGTCCTTGTCATCGCGGCGACGATTAACTTGTTATGCATTTAGTCGCTAATGCTGTCATGCTGGCTCTTTTGAAATTTCTATCGCTCTTGTCAGTTTTCCGTTTATGCTTCTGGCGCATTATCCAAATCGAGTTTTTACATAATTATGTTGGTGTTTTCATGAGAAATTATGTCTCGGATGTTGGTTTTTTGTGTAAAACTAGTTATGTGGAACATGCCAAAATAAATACAAAATGGTATCTGATATCCATATCTAGATGTTTCATATTTGTAAGTTTAATATAAAAAAGGAGGTAATCCCTAATATCTAAAGCTAATTCAAAAGTAATTATTAAACTATATGATATTTCTGACTATATATATATATAGTGCCCCACTGCCCAGCACCGACGCCGCATTCGGCATTCCCCCGTTGTATTTCCATCAACAAGAGCTGCCGTAGAAACTCACGCGAGCGTGCTTCTCCGGCGTGCTGCCGTAGTCCTTTACCCAGCTCCTTGACGATAGCAATTGCCGACGGTCCCCATGGCCCATGGGGATAAAAATGTTGCGGCCATTCAGACAGAAATGCAGTCTGGATTTCTTTTCCGCGGCTTGCACACATCCACACAACTATCATTGTGTAGATGTATAATTAATTACAGTGGCATTATCACAAAACAAATCATAGGGCGTTGCCGGTAAAACCCGTGCGCAGTCGCACTGCGCAGTTGCAGTAATGTCTCATCCGTTGTAAACCTCGGCGATGCCCCACAGTGCCATGTTGCTGAGTTGGCGGATGTCGACACTTCGCAAGTCGGCATCATCGCGCGCATACGCATGCCGACTGCCATCTGGATGGAATCCGCTGTACCTGCGTATGAAGCAGGCACTATACAGATAAGAAGCGCTGCGCCGTTTCCCAAGGGAATTAAGAAAAAAGGCACACCAATACGTACGCTGCTTGCAGGTATGTACATTGTACGTACGTGCATACTTGATACGCGTGCATGTTGTAAACCTGTATCATATTTTATTATTATTTTATTTTATTATTATCATAGTTTATGCAGAAAAGTACACGTCATTGTATTAGCGTCAACTTGCTTGTTTATGAAGCGACGGATGTGGTACCAGTCGTCTGGGTAGGGGAGGCTGCGGCACCAGCGAGCGTGCACCGCCGCCACTTTGGCGTGAACGGCGGCGCTGGCCGGGGGAAAGGCCCGCTCCATGGCCCACATGAAGCGCCGGCGGACCGGCTCCCAGTCGTCTGCGTCCCGCCAGTGACAGATGAATCGCGGTATGATGATCAGCGTCGCATCCAGAACGGACGGTTGCTGTACATGTCCAAGCACTAGCGAATTCGAGTGGGAACCAAAGTCCCAACAGGACCTGCACTTGTTAATAAAGCGCTTTTCTTGGTTTGGTTGCCGCCAGTTCTGCAGCTCCCCTCTCATCTCGATAAACAAATCCGTCCCGCGCATCTCCAGCCCATCGAGCATCAGTTGGTCACAATGGTCCAGGAAGCGCAATAGTAGATTGGGTTCCGGGGACATCAGACAGAAGGATTTCAATACCAGGAACGGCAGCTGGATGCGCATAACTTCCAACAACTTCTCCACATACCACAGCATGTGCCAGTTAAACGGATCCCCCTCCCAGTCATGGGCGCGTGCGATGAGGGTGACACTCCGCGTTTTGGGCGTGATGACCCGGCTCAGTAGCATCGCGAAGCGGCAACAGTAGTTATGGTCACCGCACTGTGTGCTTGTACTTTGCAGATTATCTGCTAAAACACTGATGTGTTGCGCCGTGCGGGGATCGCCCAGTATCGCTTGCCACAATGCACACACTCTGCAGAACAGATGGATACAAGATTTAGCAACGCGCAGCTGCTTTATGAGGTGTGATTTGGTCTAGACGCAGACTTGCACCTTTAATGGAGGAAACCGATCACCACACATAATACAGTTACCTATCTACGAGAAGTAGCCTACTCCACTTCAGTTTTAAAGGTTTCTCCAGCAAAGGAATGAGATTTTCTTAAAACTACAGAGAAACGTTCACTCTACGCTAAATTCTCTTTAAGATGGTGGGTTAAGCATTATTTTAGAACATATCCTTGAATTTAGGCGCATTATTTTATCTGCAAGATTGCCGGTTCACCTTGGCCCACATTAAGCGCTCTGCCTGTTTGCATTATAAATACACTGCGCAACACTCGTAGGAGCAGGCATGACACAAATTTCTTGCTTCTGCGGATACAGACATCTTCACGTCCCAGCATCAATTATCATTGCATAAGAGTGGAGTATGTAGCATTAAAATTTTCGAAAGTTCTTGTTAGTCACTGCGTAGCACACATATGCAAATGAAAAGAGGTTCATGGATTTTAGTTTCTCAACAAAGCTTACTTTACGTGGTAGTTGGTACTATTATATTTTCGAATAAACTGGAAAACCGATAAATTATTCATACCTGAACGTTCTGTAAGGTTTTAGTGCTCGCAGTACCGGTATTGAGCAGTGCTTATTCGCTGCACATATCTGCGCGGAAGCAGAAGCGAATGTGCAGTGTTCTGTCGTAATTGATTGTTTTTTTCTACCGCGGTGCAAATTTTGCAGTTATTCTAAATTAATTTATTTGAAATGTATTTAATGGAAGGAAGACTAACCAGAGCACTACTTCCTTCACCAAATTCAGAAAATCTAAGTTTTAAAAAAAAGGTGGGAGATTACTGTGGTATATTAAAAAATATTGTCACTTCCGCCTCACTTGCAAAGGTTGATCGTCAAACGTAGCTGAACAAATATTTAAAAATGTGAATGGGTGCACAACATTACATAGCACAGTACATACTGTTACTATGAAGTTGAGTATGAACTATTGGCATTTACCATAATAATTATTATTTTAATTTTGGGACGACCGAATTTTTGGACTTTCACTTCAAGCAGACATAACTCAAAAAGCGCTTATAGTCGCCCTTTTTTCATTGCGATGAAGTGGGGGATCATGAATTCGCATTGTAATAGTAAGTATGCTATGTACTCATTCAATTGTTGTTTTATAAAAATAGTAAGTGATTACAGAATATGTTATCGTACTATTGTGCCCGAAGATTGCCCCCGACGAGCGGTCTGATGTTGAGCTATGCTGGGAAGAACGTACAGGAAAGAGTGCACCTGCGATAGAAGACCGGAGCAACCAACGCTTGTGGTCGGATATGCTGACTGCCGGGAAACTGGAAGTGGAAGCTTTAAAAGAGAGCGCCGACGTTATTGCCTCTGCTCGTCTGTTGGCTGCCTCTGCTAGGGATGCCAGTGCCTGGTTGTTTGCATTGCCGGTCGCCAGCCTTGGCACACTGGTGGACGATGCCGGTCTGCGGATCGCTGTTGCTTTGCGGATGGGTGCGCCTATTTGTAAGGAGCTTAAAAGTCGGTGTGCTGAAATGGTTGATACACGCCGGTTACATGGATTGTCGTGCGTCAAAAGCCAAGGAAGGTTCAGGAGGCATGCGAGTTTGGATAGCGTGATTCAGCGTAGCCTGGGATCAGCAAAGGTGCCGACAATCTTGGAGCCTCCCGGACTGTGCAGACGGGACGGGAAGCGGCCAGACGGCTTATCACTCTTCCCATGGAGAAATGGCCTCCCTCTGATATGGGATGAGACAGTTTGTGACACATTCGCTACTTCGTATATAGCTGGCTGTGCAGAAGCAGCGGGATCGGCTGCTGAAGACGCGGAAGTGCGGAAGCGAAATCTCTATGCCGAACTCACTGATCGGCATTTTTTCCAGCCAGTGGCACTCGAAACTATGGGAAGTTGTGGCGAAAGTACCCGCCAGTTCATCAATGAAGTCGGCCGGAGAAGCGCGCGCTGTTCAGTATTTGTGGCAACGTATAAGTGTGGGAATTCAGCGCGGAAACGCGGCTTCTGTCCTGGGGACGGTCGGGTGTTCTCGAGAGTTAGAAGAGTTATTTTTCTTATTCTGATTACTGGGTATTTAGTTTGAATGTAAATGGCATTGGCTTGTACAAGTTGATAATAAAGACAATATGTTATAAAACAATTTTTTATCAGATGCTGTAATATACAGTTCATGTTGCGAATGCCGGTTGCAGCATAATGCATTGTACCACACATGTCAATGCAAGCTAGCCAGTGGCCACTGCTGCATGTTCCTACGATGTGATATGGTGGCGCTTACAAGTCAGAAGTAGCATTTCGACTTGCTTTAGCCCGTATTAGGTATTACCGTATTAGTACTGTACGAGTAATATTCGGAAATTTCGGGTAGCTATAGCTAACCCAGAATGTCATGCTCCTTCTGTCATGCTGTTTACTGTCATGCTCCTTCTCTGCCGGTAGACACGCTCGCCATGGCGGGCTAAACAGTATTGTCTGCCGATCATTAGTTTCGGCGGGTATCCCAGCGAAGCTCGAGCCCCGCGGCACATCCCACACGTCCGATCGTCGCCCGGACGGGTGCACGACGTTCGCCTGGAAACGTGGCATGTGTTTAGCTTGGGACGTCACTTGCGTCGACACTGTCGCCCCATCGCATATCAAGTCCACTTCGGCATCCGCGGGATCCGCCGCTGCCCAAGCCGAAGACAGGAAGACCAGTCTGTACGCATACCTCGATGGCAGATACATTTTCGCGCCGTTAGCCTTCGAAACACTCGGACCATGGGGCAAGTCGGCATCCGCTCTAGTGAAGGAAATCGGCAAGCGACTGCAGCAGCACACTGGTGAACCTCGATCACACGAATTTCTACGCCAGCGTCTGTCTATCGAAATTCAACGGGGAAATGCGGTGTCCGTTTTTGGAACTATGGATGTAACGGACAACTTAAGAGAAATTTTCCTGTTATAATCATTTTTGGTTTATTAACAAAATTTGGAGTGTGACTGACTTGTGCTAATAAAGACACTCCCAAATTCAGACACCAGACTTGCTGCGCCATGGCAGTACAGGATGTTTGAGTAGGCCTTATTGTTTTGTAATGTACAGATACTCGTACAGTCGTACAGAACGGTCATGCAGGTAAAATAAAATACAATTGCTACATTGCTTAAGCTGTTGCTGCAATACAGTTTCTTCATTGTATTTGTACCGTATGGCATGAGCTTGCGAATGTAGGTCCAGAACTTCCAGGATCTCCGTCAAGAGTACGAGTGGCAGACGGCGCAAGGTAGCCTCAGCACTGCCAGGAGTGCCGGCATCGATGGCTTCTTTGTCAGTACTACCGCGTCCGCTTTCAGTACGCATACAGCGCGGATATCCTTCAAATCATCAACGACAATAAATTAATTTCAACGCCTATAAAAGTAATCCTATGCCAAACATTTACAAGCACCTTTCAACAACCACTTCCAGATGATATATATAGTATAATGCACTCTGCTTGCATATAAAGGCGTAAATGTGTTTTATTACAGAATAATAAGTATTTAAGTTTTCTTGTCTAATAGAATATACTATAAAGAAAATTGGTTACATCGGCAAATTGTCGAGGACCCTGGTTACGTAGTTAGTATTCATATAATTACTGTATATATTTATATACGTGACAAATGTATGTATGTGTGGCAGTGTTACATGGTGAACCATCAGTACTGTTACACGGCAAATACAGTGTATCATCACAGTCGGGCATCCAGCAAGGTGATCCCCTCAGCCCCCTTCTGTACTGCTTTGCAACTATCGGACCACACCAACGCCTGAAGTCAAAGTTGAAAGAGAGCTTTCTGGACGATGATGCGCTGGGCGGAGACCGTGAGGATGTTTTTAACGACCTCTGCTCCCTTCAGGAAGCGCTACCAGAACGCGGGCTAGCGCTTAAATATAGCGAAATGCGAGCTGATGGTGATCGGAGAAGAAGAACGCCAAATTGTGTATGACGCATTTCTCCATGCCTATCCGGCAGACCTGCAATGTCCCCAGCTGAAGGATCTGCATTACCTCGGTGCACCACTCCACGATGATGCTGTTTGGGGCGCACTCGTCAGTGCTACAGAGGCTTTCGGACGGTTGACGGAGCGCCTAAATCTAATACCTGCCCATCAGGCCCTATATCTGCTGCGGGTCCCGGCTCCAAAAAATTTCGTTTTTTGCAGGAAGACAAAGTAACTCTTGGGTACACTGAAAAAAAATATTTCCATCGGCCATGGTTGAGTGGGCGTGGCCAAACTTAAATTCCAGTGGTAATACATACAGTACTTTACTATGTATTAAAGGAATACCGTAATAGTGTACTGTACCATGTCAGAGGTTTTCAAAAATACGTATACGGTGATCGGTAGTCAGATCATTTTCATAATTCTTTTAAAAACTACTACTGTCAAATAAACCACCGAGAAAAATTACATATTATAGTATCAGTGTGGTATGTATTGGCCTATTGGGAAAACGGAATACGTCCCGCGGTATTAGACTATTATACAGACGTTGGGTCAAATACAGTAGGCGTTCTCACTACTCGGTAGCTTCACAATTTTTTGATTTCTTCTCGATTACTAACACAACTATTTTTTAGGACGATTAGACACGATCGGACTGCTGAAATCGCTTATGCCAATCTCCTAACGTATTACGCTACACTGATACGGTATTCCCAACGCATAGATAGTGCTGTACGTATTTATGCCACAGGAATTAGGTTTAGCCACGCCCACTTAACCATGGCCGATGATAATATTTTTTTAAGTATACCCAAAGGTTACTGTGTCTTCCTGCAAAATACAGAATTTTTCGGAGCCGGGAGCCGGTGACCGGGCCCTGGTGAGATGCAGCATGGGTACGGTAAGGCTGAGCTACAAGTTGCGCGCAAGCCGATGCTATCAACAAAAGATGTTATTAAGCAAGTTTGATTATATGATACGCCAAAGCCTCACCTCTATTACCAACGTGAACATCACTGATGATAAGTGGTCGCAGGCATCGCTCCCGATTGTAGACGGCGGTCTCGGAATTGGAAGCGTCGAGAAGCTTGCCCTTCCGGCCTTTCTGGCCTCAGCTTACTCGGTAGCTCCACTAACATCGGAAATTATTGAATTCGTACCGGACATCTACTGTCGTGATGCTACTGCAGAATGGCTCCAAATAACCCAACATGACCTTCCCCCCTTGGACGCGCGACCAGTCCAGAAAGTTTGGGACGATCGCATAATCCGCGACACCTCTTGATCGGCAGCCCTGAACGACATATCCGAGCAGCGAGGCTGCGAGGTGTGAGCAAGAAAGAAAATGGGGCATGGTTGGGAGCGCTTCCGGTTGCCTCACTTGGCAACCTTCTTACGGACTCCGTGGTAAGAATCGCCGTTGGTTTGCGTCTGGGGGCACCGGTCTTTACCCCACACCGCTGTGTTTGCGGTGAGTGGGCGAATGCTCGGGGCTACCATGGCCTAAGCTGCAAGAAAAGCCGCGGACGAATCCCTACACATAAATGTCTGAACGCCGTTGTGAAGCGCAGCCTCGCATCTGCTGGTTTCGAAAGCGCACTGGAACCGCAAGCTATCTATTCATCAGACAACACCTTGGGAGATTGGACCAATGCTGGCATGGGCCTCTACTTGCCTCAACACAATGGCCATATCGCGTATTACTGCGACATCCGCACGATCGGGAGCAGTAGCAGCACAGGCCGAGCAGGGCAAGACCGAGAAATATCGCGATATCGGCCAGGACTACGTGTTTCGCGCTCTTGGTTTTGAATCGCTCGGACCGCCCGGACCGGATGCTGCCCGTAGGATAACGGAATTCGGACGGATGATACGACAAAAAACCGGCGAAAAACGAGCCACGGAGTATCTTCGCCAGCGGAGCAGCATCGAAATCCAACGAGGAAATGCGGCATCGATCTTGGGGACAGCGCCGATAGGGGCAAATTTAGACCAAATTTTCTCTGTGATTAAGCCGTCTCTGTCGATTGATGCGATCGTTTCTGAAGTTATTGTGAAAGTTTTCTGAATTTCATTGTACATTTCAGTTATCGGTGGTTTGTAACTGTTGTATGTGGTCATTCCAAATGCGGAGCCTATTTTCATTTGGCAGAAGTGCTGGCGTTTAATATAGAAATTCTACAATAGTACTCGTATATACTGTAATTTCAATGTTCCAGTTGTATTTATGCAGTCAGCGTTCCTTTGATGCAGACCTTGATGCAAATCAGACGCACCTGGAGACAGCTGGAGGAGTTGATTGTCAGCAGTCTGGTGGGACGTAATGGAAGTCGCCTGGCTCGATGACAGACCGGTAGCGGCGGTACGGCACGTGGCATACCGCTCCAGTATCCTCTGCAGAGCTGCACCTGTCCAGTCCCTGCTGGCGGCGTCGACGACAATGAAAGTGCACCGATGCGGATCCGGCCCGATGCGCAGATGGAAACGACAGTTCTCCTCCATGCGCTTATACGCCAACATCCCGGCCCCGGCCAGTGCCGCCGATGGCTGAATAGGGTACACTTGCCGGAAGCTGTCGATCAACTGGGAGGCATCGGCCGTTGTGCGTGTGTTGAAGACGCATTGCGTCCGAGCATTCGCATTCAGGAGGATTTCATGCCGCGTGTACAGAACACCGGTCGTCGTTCTTGCCAGCAGCGGTGGTTCGGCGAATGGCAGTCGGCTCATGATCTGACACCAGTCGACAACGGCAATATCGTTACCATTACCAGACGCAGCTGCATGATTCTTCCTTGACAGGTTTAAATTTGTGCTGATAAAATACATTCTGCATTCGCAGTCGAAATACAGGACAGTGGCCGGCCGGAAGCGGAAGGGCCCGTCGTAGTGGTCACGGAGAGCGACGAAGACCGGCATGTTGTGCGACTCGCTGAAATGCATATCCAGCGACATTAACGGCAGCGGCCAGACGTGTGACGCGTGCATGTAGCGTGCAGCCGCCCCGGCCCGGCGGGCGTCAAAGTCCACCAGCACGTGCTCATCGCGAATGTCCTGGATGTATCCCAACCAGCACTCCTCCTGCCCTGCAGTACCAGCTGTATGCATCCGCACCGCTACAGTATTTTGGTAATTGATCGACTCTGCGCCAACCAAAAGCCGTCGAAATCCCGGATTAACCAGCCTGCAATCCATTTTAAGCTGCAACAAGGAAACAAATCACTGCCTTCATGTAGAACGGGTTCTCTGCTGAGTCTGCTCCATGAAGATAATAAGTACTAATATGGAACAACAAAAGAAACAACAAACATTTAAAACAGATTTTTTACATACTTAAATATAAAAATGCATCAGTTATTATGCGGCGGGATCTGCTACGTGAATAAAATCTATTATTTAATATAAATCTACTAGAGCACAATTATTACTGTTTAATAACTGTATAAATGCTAAGTAGCATAATTTGTGTATTTATTGTATTATTGTATAATCGGATGCTGTTCGAGTCGTATAGCAACATAATATCTATAATTACAGTGCTGTAACATAATAATTATAATATAATTATTTGTCAGCTCAGTCAACCATATTATGGTTGACTGAGCTGACAAAAAACTGAATTTAAATTTTATTCCAGTCGTATAACTGGTGATGTACGAAAAGTACGAGCAGTGTAGAAGTACTCGTAGTCGTAGAACAGGACGATCCATAGAAAAATCGTGGAACAGCGTTTAAATTTAACGACGCGATCGAGCCTTGTCGTGCATTAAGTAAATATTATACACTTTTGATGCGCACCAGTTAACGAAAAAAAGCAACGTCGCTACGGTATTAAAACATTTTTATATATAGATACTGTAAATGTATGTATAGATATAAAGCTGAAACTCGTGCGAGTTTCCGATGAAGCGCAGCTGTGCGGAATACCAGTGTTCTTGGCAGCGTTAAGAGCAGCTGACTGCGCTGTGTTCCTGTGGGGCCGAGATCTTGACGAACTGTTCTTGATCTTTAGCAGTTGACATTTATAGTTCATTCATGTCTACAAGACTGATCATGTAGAAACTGCGAACATAATTATATAGTTCAAAAATCAAAACATGGTAATGCATGATGCATGTGCAGAAATGAGTCAAATGACATCCGTACGCTGTGAGTGCGATGTATACAGAACACGAATACGAGCCAAAATGTATACACAAACACTGCAGAGTGCAGATGAATAATAGTAAAATTATGCGCATATAAATCCACTAAACGTACTGTATTGTATGCACTCGTATACATACAGGATAATAATAATATTAGTAAAGATTACTAGAAGCACTGTACAGTGTACAGTAGGTACGTAAATGCTGAAACGCCAGGTGCGTCGAGTCCGTCACAGATTAGAATTTAGAACACTTGGATGCCTGCATCATGTCCTTAATGTAACATTATTGATAATTAACGATAATAGACATTTTTCGCAACTGCTCCACTTAACCATAGCACTACACTTAACCATACGCTATGGTTAAGTGCGAGCGTATGGTAAGTGCGGATACCATACAAATTCGTTGTATGGTAGCTGACTTCCAAAGGCTCCTCTTAGTTCCCATACACTTTAACTTCGTTAGAGCTAAGCTTTTCTAGCACAGAAAACATCGGAGAACTTGAATTTTAATGTTCCAAAGGATGCCATACCGTGTAGCACGAGAAAAAAATTAAATACGAAGACCTCTAGAAAACAACTGCGCTGGTTTTAAGGTATCCTGTACACTGTCACTCCGATGGCGGTGTCTAGCTACACGATAAGGTATGGTTAAGGTATGGTTATGGTGTCTTTTGCGAAAAGCCTCTATTAGAGGCTTTTAACAGTGAACAGTTAACAGTGAACAGTGATGAGTTAACAGTGAACAATATGCTCAACTGCTCAAGGATCTCGAGCTACACAACTCCAAGTACCGTATGCTTCATAAGAGAAATACGTTCCGTATTCCGTATTACTAGGGGGAATCCATAAATTACGTACGCAAAAAAACACGGTTTTTTCACCCCTCCTTCCCCCTTCGTAGCGGTCCGTCACGTTTGCTTGAGCCCTCGCCCTGGTTCGTTCAATCGTAATACATGGAGCTGACCACCCCCTCCCCGTGGGTTCGCCGGGGTCGTCACAGCTTGTCACATTTTTTGGGCCCGTCCCTCCCTGGTTCGCTGCGTACGTATTTTATGGACCCCCCTAAATATACGGAATAAGAAACCGGGAAAGCGTAGTGCATATTTGCAACGTCTGGAGCCACCATAATTCGACTTTTTGAGTAGTACCAGTTATGGCTGTTCTGTATATCAAATTATCAATGAACAGACGCGGTAACGATTCAAATATTTCGTAACGACGCCCATCGTAGCGTCGCTAGTGCCCCCATTTAGCGACAGCAGTCCGCAAGAAGACCGACCACGGGCGGCACCTACTGCAGAAATAGCAGCGGTGCAGTGCAGCTCGTTGCGGTTGGTCGCTTCTGTCACCGGATGACCGCCACCCCGTCGCGCACGGCCAATCCTCTACCTTGATGTTCACGGGCGGCTGCCATATCCGCAGCCATTGTTATAAAAGAACTTTCTTAGGTTTCTTAGGTTCACTGCGTATGTGTAGACTGTAATAAGCACACTACTGTATTAAGTACTGTAATAAGCAATTGAAGTACTACTGTAAGGCCTCGTCCCGAATTCGAAGCGAATCTCGTTGCGATACAGCAACTTCACCTCGCGAGGTGGCTTCGCGTGCCGTATCTGTAGGCGCGGCCACTGCATACTGCATACAGCCACCGTACCATAGCGCGATTCGCTTCGAAATCGGGACGAGGCCTAAAATGTTAAAAATCAATTAAGCGATGGAAATGTGCATTCAGTTACTAAGTATTCTTCTGCTTGCTCATTTTTCAACACCCACTACTGCTCCCGCCATCCAACGCAACAACACCTTTTAATGCCAGATAAATAATTCGTACAACGCGAAGACAACACAGCACCACCCGATTAGCGCAACACGTGAAATGAAAGCTTAGCACCACTGACCACTTCCGGCTCGACCCCGTCGGGCCCGATGCTATCATGCTAACAAAACTTCAAAAAATCAACCGTGAACGAATTAAATCCGAATAATCAACAATTTCCGCCCTCTTTCCACAACCGCGTTTCTTATAAAGCGCCTCTCGCCATCAAGAAAACCAAAAGCAGAAAAGTAAAGATTGATCCGTTCCGTTCAAGCGTCCTTCTTTCGTTTGCGCAGCGGGTCGGAGGCGACATCGCGAGCGACGCGCTTCTTGCTGGGCTGGTCCGCTTGAGCATTGGCGTTAGCGTTGGCGTGGACGTTGGCCACCAACACCGACGCGTGATGATGCTGCTGGCCGCCCGCGTGCGACGCTTGGCTGCTGTTGGTGCTGCTCTGGATGACGCTGGCCCCGGCCCGGCCAGCGCCGCGCGGTGGCCTGCGACAGCTGCGCCCGCAGGTTGTACATCTCCCGCTCCAGGTGGCTCATGTTGTCGATCTGCCAAAAAAACCACACGAAAATACAGAAATTAAATTGTAGAATACAGAATAAAATAAAAATAGCAATTACCGAATTTAACACAGTAGACTTTATTACAATTAATGAGAGAATCAATAATGAAACTGATAAATGAATAAAATGTATGTTAAATTGCTCGGCCACCTTGTTCCAGTCGCCCTTGCACATCTTCAGGGCCTCCAGCAGCAGCAGCGTCTCCTGCTCCGTCCATTCGCGACCCACTTTACCCTGTAATTAGCACCAAGATATGCTGAATATTCCGGCGGTTGTGTCAACAAACAAACGCACTGGCCCGGTACGCACCCTGGCCGCCGAGCGCTTGATGTGGCTGCCGGCGCGCAGACCGTAGCTGGGACCGGCGTTCTCCCCGCCGCCCGGCGCCGGTGCCCCGGCGGCGGCGGCGTCGGCCTCCTGCTGCTCCTTGGTGACGTCGTTTAGCTTGCAGATGTAGTCGGCGTTGGCGCTGGGCAGGCCCTGGTGCTTGACGGGCTGCAGCGGCTGGATGCCCACCGGCGTGTCCAGCAGGATGTTGTAGTGCGCTGTGTTGCTGTTGTCAAAGAAATTATCCATTAAAATAACAAATCAGCCTCATAATACAGCTATCAACTGCATCAAATAAATTCGAAACAGTATTCCGCTGTTCAAATAAATACATGCGGTTACTCAAAAGCGAAAAAGTAAGCACAATTTAATGACGTTATCACGTATGTTAACGAAAATACCTGCCAAATTAAGGAAATTTTCAAATACTCAATCAAATAATTTATGACGTTAAATCAACAAATTCAAACATTAATCATTCAACCTTGTCAAAATTAATTATTAATTAAAAATCGAATCAAAAACTGAAATAAACACGTCAGAAAATTTACAGAAATTTACCTATCGTAACCATGCCGAATAATTGGGAATTAATTTATTAAGCTCTGCGGGGAAACCTCACGGATGCGATGGCGCTGATCCTTTTCCTGCGAGAAAATTTGCCGAAACGCCGTCGCCGCAGGCGGGGGCGCGTGCGACGCGGACAGACTGCTGTAGTCGTCCAGATCGCTCAGCTCGGCTCCTTGCGCTTAAGACTGCTTCCTGACGCGCCCGATTTGGACGAGCTAGCGCTCCTGTATTCGAAAAAATTATTAGCTACCTGATTCTTTCGAACTATGCGACGACTGAGGCAAACATACACTAAGAACTGAGAAACTGCCATTAGAAGTGAAGCAGCTGAATGACTCACCTGCCAGGCGCAGGAGCTGGCGAGCGCTTGTTGGACGACGACACTCACGACAGATCGGCGTTGCGACTGGAGGCCCCCGTTCCTGACGCACTGCTGTTGCGGGAAGGAGCGGGCGGTGAGGACTGGCGGCTGCGCTTGTTTTTGTTGGCCGTCTGGCTGCTGCTGCTGCAGGAGGTCCCCGCTTTCTGGCTACTCTTACTCGCGCGACTCCCTTCCATTGATGATTGACGCTGACGCCTCACGGGCTCAACGCATCCAGGAATTCGAAACCAACACAACTAAGAATTCCCTCGTTATGGTTGACACATTTAGCTTGGCCGTTTGTGTTGTCAAACTTTTCGACTGCGCCAAATGCAAAACATCCGCAAAAGGAAAAATAAAAAAATAAATAACTATTTATAAATATTGTTTATAAATTGTAAATAATAAATTACTGTACAGTGTACAATGTACAGTAAGTACTGATTTTCTGTTTGAATGACGTGCGGATTTACGTATCACACTCAGTTGTCAGCTACAGGGATTTTGCTACAAACACAGTAGCATCAAAAGTACTTACCATTAATTCAAGACAGTGCAACAGCGACTCGTTGTACAGGAAAATTGCATACGTCATAACGTACAGTTTTGAAACATATTATTTATTGGATGCGCAGTGTTGTCTCTTTCGAGTCTGGCGGCTTATACGTTGTGCTGTGGACGCGATGTCAAACTCGACGAGTACCGCACCGTCTCTGTACTCCCTGCAAGCCAGTGAACGACGTCTCAGTTCTCAGGCTGCAGCTTTCAGTCTGACGGCGCCGTTTTGCTGTATTTTTACAATCTCTCCGTTTCATCTTTTTGCCATTGTTCGAAAATTGTTTTCGGAAATTTCTTTTGAAATGACTTATCTGGTTCCTGTATTGACAGACGGGATCGACGGACATGCGGGTTATGCTGCCCTGATGGAAAAATCCCAACTGGCTTGATTCATGCCAGTTGGGCTGTTTCGATCAGCGCTGTCAACCTGCAACTGCAGCATTTGACTCTGCCATTTGCCACTTTTTGGATTTTGTAGTTTGTACGTCCAATATTTTCTTGATATCATCCAGCTGCTGATCAGCCATTACGAGGGAATTTTTGTTCATGCTGTTTTTGATTTCCTGAATGCGTTGATTTCGTTAGGCGTCAGAGCGTAATCATTAATGGAGACGCGTCGCTCGAGTGACAGCAGCCAGAGCGCGGGACCCTCCGGCTGCAGCAGCAGTCAGACGGCCACAAAGCGCAGCCATCCCTCCCCGCCCGACGTCGCCCGCGACATCATGGCGTCGGGAACCGGCGCTACCACCAGCCATGGGGAGCTGGCGCAGGCCAAGCGATCACCCGCCCGAGCGCACCAGCCATCTTCTGCGACGGCGGCCGCCAGTGGCGAGGGTGAGGACGACGGCAGTCTGCTGCACGCCAGCGACTCGCATCCCGAACCCGGCACACTGCCCGCGGGGAAGACAGGCCGCAAGCAGAAGGCGGTTGTGCAGCAGCCCGTGAAGGATCCGGAATCCGGGCAACTATACCGTTGTTTGGTGATTGACTATGGTAAGCAGAGCCGTGTACAAGGTGTAGACTGTGTCACTGTACAATACTGTGAATTATTTGTCAATCGTTCATTTATATTGGTTTGGTGCAGAATATTGATTATTAAATTGTTTCTAAGAGATACAGTTTATTCAGCTACAAGAAAATTATGAAGTAAGTCTGTGTTAATTGCAGAGCAGGAAAATGAGAGTGAGAAATATCCTTTTATAACGGAAAAGACGGTATCGGCTGAAGCGTTATTGACTCAGTTAAAACTTGAGGAGAACTCCTTGGAGAAGTTCGGCGTAACACCGGTGGAGGATGCTGTTGCCCACATTGTGCAGTCACGGAAGAGAGTGTATTTACCGTGCACGGAGTCCGAGAATGGTTTGGAGAGCGTTAAGCGGTAAGTTCAAATTAACCTTTTTATCAAATAATTATGTCACAATTACCAGTTTATTTTGTTGATGTTATTCTTGCAACGCTGAAGGCCATACTCCACCAGAATAAAAATTTATTTTATTCATCATAAAATAATGATGAATTTATAATTTTATTTTATTCATCATAAAATAATGACGGATTTTGGAAACAGTTTTCACTGACTGGTGTGCGAAAAACTACTAGTAATATCTCGTGCGGACGTGGATATCTGTACTTCGTACTGTTTCAGTATTTGATTAGTCGGATTTTTTACAGCTCTTTACGACAAAAATTGATTAAGAACGCATTCAAATTCGAAATCGAGGATTTTGCCAATGAGGAGGGATTTAAGGACTTTATAAAGAAGTGGTAAGTGTGTTGTTGAGACAGAACTTGCAGCTAGTCATGCAGCACTTGGCCAACTATGAGAAGATCCCTGTATTGCTTTTTTGTAGCGCGGAAAAGGATAAAGGTGATGCGACATGGTTCGCAGGAGTCTTGGCAGAAGCCAGCCGTGACGTAGATGTCAGCGAGGTGATAGATGTTCCCGGTCATATCGAGCGCCAACTGCTGCTGCATGATCGCGAGGCGTTGTATGGGGAAATAGTGACGGCGATTAGGCAGAACCATTTGGATGAAATGGACAAGATCCGACAGGCAGAACCGCGTCAGCTGAAGTTGCTGCGCCAGCGGTTGATCCAGGAGCGCCTGCAGTTCCAGTCCGAGCAGGAGGCGAAGGCGCGCCTGGCCGCCCAACAGCAGACGCAGCAGCAACACGGCCCCATGGCGTCCCTGGGCGTGGCCGCCCCCGCCCCCTCCGCCTCCATCCCGGGTGGCCTACCGCCCTGCTCCGCCGGAATGGGCCCGACACCGCCCCGAGGACCGCTTGCGGCGCAGACGCCAATCCACGGCATGACGGACGCCGGGATGACGGTGCACCCTTCGGCCCTCGGTTTCCAGACCATTGTGGACTCCGGCACCCGCACTCATGATCCCCAGAGCTTCCTGTCAGCCCACGCTCTGCAGCAGCACCCTCCGCCCGTACAGCCGCAGTTTACCGCGTCGCACCGGCGCGACATGGACGGCGCGGCGGCCCGGGGACCGAATTTCGGGATGGCGATGCCGGAAGCAGTGGGGGTTTCGTTTTCGCGTCAGACACCCGTGTACGAATCCGAGGAACACGCCATGAGGATGTCGGAGGGCTATCCGGGGATGTCCGTCAATCTCCCGGCGCAGCAGTCCCCGCCCTTCCAGCCGCAGTTCACCGAGTCGCACTGGCGCGACATGGGCAGCGCGGGTGCCCAGGAACCGAATTTCGGGATGGCGATGCCGGAAGCAGTGGGGTTTCGTTTTCGCGTCAGGCATCCGTGTACGAATCCGAGGAATACGCCGTGAGGATGTCGGAGGGCTATCCGGGGATGTCCGTCAATCTCCCGCAGCAACAGCCCCCGCCCTTTCAGCCGCAGTTCGCCGCGCTACAGCAGCGCGGCTTCGGAGGCGCGGCGGCCCCGGGCTACTTCGGCCCGACGCAGCTGTGCCCGTCCGGAATGATTTCGGTGCCGGCGCCCATGGGCGGGCAGCCGCCGGCGGGGTACCAGGCACATTTTGCCGGCGCGGAGAGAGCTGGAGCGACCTTCGGGATCGGGACGCAGGATGAAGGCGGACAGAGCGGACAGATGTCGCAGCCGCACACTGTATCCCCGCAGCCACCACCATCCATTCCGCCGCCCCCGATGCAGGGCCAGACGTATCCCGTGCCGCAGGAAGGCTATTCCGGCGTGCAGCCGACGCTGCCGCAGCAGCGTACCGCGCCCATGCCGTCAGGTGAGTTGCGCACGCCGTAGCTGTGCTATCTGGTATGGATGCCATTTCAGATCCAATAGCAGTTAATAATAATCAATAAAATGAAGGCAGCGGTGGTCTACGGTTGTATTTCATTGTGTTTCATTAAGGCTGATTGATGCATGAAAAAAATAATTTTTGCTAAGGACTTGTTTTGTTTGGTATTGTACTGATAAGATCTGTGCGTTGCAGGTGAGAGTGTGTACGGGCCGAACGTGGCGGCCGGCCAGGGACCGCAGCAACGCCCACCGCTGTCCTATGCGGCAGCTGTCCAGTTGCCGGCCTCGCCGCATCTGAGTCAGCCGCGGAGCACGGCGCCCGCGCATTCCGGGCCGCGGGCCACGGTGCCGTCGCCAGCACTGCAGCAGCCGCCCCGGGGGCACGGTCATCAGTCCGGACGCCAGCCGCCGCCCAGCGCGGGCCACTACCGGGCCGGCAATCCGAACGCAGGCCAGGCTCGCGGCCCCAGCATGCCCAGGGGCCAGGGCCCCGCCGGGGCAGCAGTACGCGGGGAGGGGCGCGCAGGCCAACCAGACGCGCAGTCGTCCGCGCGGGGTCAGTAAGGCGTCGCGTTTTGTTGTGCAAATCAGTTGTCATATTTTGCTCTACGATTGTGCTCTGAATATTTGAATTTAAAAAATAATTGAAATATTACAAAATTAATATTACTGACTTTGTATAAGTGAATATTGTCCGGAATTTGTGGTTTTTTGTAGAGACGGGGATGAGCATGTCGACGGCCGTGGAGACACGCTGCCCCGCCGTCGTTTGATGCGGGTGGAGTGGATTCCACGGGACGCTGGCTGTTGGTTGTTTTCTTACTGATCTCTGTTACTCCGGCCTTTTTTTCCCAAGCTGTCCTTGTTTCTGATTTGTTTTCTTGGCCCCCCTCTTTTTGTCCCTGACTCATCTCACTGGCGGATCTGCTCTCCATTTTCTTTCATTATTTTGTTTGTTTTGTGTTGAGCATTTAATAGTGGCGACTGGCGCGTCCACTTGTTATTCTAGAATTAATTTGTATCGAGAATCGATGGTCAGGAGAAGCGCACGTCATTCGGCGCAAGTTACGCGATGTGGCAATTAAAAGCTGTTACTAATTAGAGTAACCGGTGTTCGAGAGCTCTGGCAGGAATTAATGCTGCGGATTTGCATGCAATTTAACACAACAATTCGTGCACTTACCGGTTAGTATGGAATGTACGGTGCGTCGGTACTATCACGTGCATGTTGGTGTACACTCTACCTGAGTCGCTACCATACTTTCATTCAATTTTTTATGCACTGAACTGACGCTTTCAGTTTTTTCTTATTAAATTCACCGTTCTATTGAACTATTACTAAGAAAAATTTTCCCAAAATAGGATTACCATTCCATTAATGATTAATTGATTATAACTGATATATATATTATAATAATATTATTATACACGAAAATAAATGCGCAGCAACAATAAAAATCACCTGCAGCGCAGAAATGCCCCAAACAATTATCACAAATCCGAGAAAAAATACATGTTCCAGGAAACAGGGGAATTGACATGGCGGGCCTATCCGGCCGTGCTCTTGGACTGCAGGTCGTCCTCCGTCCTCGGTAGACGCGTCACCGCGGCCGTCTCCCCACCGCGCACCGCCTGCAGCAGCGCTCGCATTCTCCCGCGCAGCTCCCTGCTGGGCTTCTTCAGGACCACCTCCGTGGCGCCCTTGCTCACTACCACCTCCATCTCATGACTCCCGCATATCTACAATCAACATCCAACTGAAATCAAACCGGAAATGTCGATTCTTCCCGCGGAAACTCACCACCCGGCTCCGGTCCTTCTCTACCTCCAGCCGCACCTCCCCGAAGCCCTCCTTCCGCATCAGTCGCACCAGCTTGGCCACATCCGGACTGCGGTCCCCCGCGGTGATCCGGGCGCCCCCTCTGCCGATCGTCTCCAGATAGTACTTGTTGTCCAGCGTGCGGATGCCGCCGAAACAGCGCCCGGCCAGGATCTTCCCGTCCCCGGAGCTGGCCGCGTCCACCGGGATGAGGGGGAGGCTGGAGAGGAGGGGCGTGGCGGCGACGACGTTGAGACAGGCGCTGCGCAGGGGCAGCGGGATGTCGTGGTGGCCGCGGATGGGCAGGATGCGCGTGGAGGCAGGACAGCGGACGATGTAGTCGGCGCTGTCCGCTGAGTTGCCCAGCGGCTGTAAATACCGCTCGTGGATCACCAGGGCGCGCGGCTGCAGGGAATCCAGGATCTTCGTCAACTGGAAGGGTTTCAGTCGCGTATCCTGTGCATGACAACATAACCCTTTATTAAATTACTCTAATTTGCTGCAACTTAAATCAAATTAAAGAACAGTAAAATCCAGATTTAAATTGGCAAAATGATTATTTTCTTTCAATTAATTAGAGAGGAAAGAATTTAAATTCAGTATGCTTAAATAACGCACCAAGGGACAGTAGGCGACCTTCATCTGGATGGGGAGGTAGGGCTGCAAGGCCTCGCTGGGATGGAACTCGGAGTCGATAAGGACGAGGGTGTTTTTGGGACTGGTCTTCCACTGCGAGAGCAGGTGCACCGCCGGGCCCATCCTCAAACTGTGGTGCGAGCACAGCACGATGCAGGGACTCTTGAAGCTCTCGGAGAACTTGCCGTCCACCGAGGGGAAGATGCGCAGGCGGCCGGCGCGGGCCATCTGGCCGTGGATGAAGGGCTCCTCCGGTAAATAGGCCTTGTCGCGGTAGTCCTTGTTCAGCCACTCCGAGAAGACCTGCGCCAGCGACAACATGGAGTGCGCCGTCGCGGCGATGACGTTGACGGGCAGGTGGGTGGGCAGGTCCTCCATGTACATGAACAGGTACTCCAGCACGTCGATCAACAGGTCCACGCTGGAGAAGGGGATCAGCACGTTGCCGCCCTCGCGCAGGCACTCCTGATACAATCAAATACCGTCACCGCGTCACATCCCATAACAGCGAATAAATAAACGTAATTTAAACGGTAAGTGAACAGAAGCTGAATTAGACGGTAAACTGCAGGGTGAGTTAAGTTAACAAATAAAATTAAGCGGTTAGTCAAGTCAAAATATGAAACCAAAAATCAACTATAACTGAATTCAACAGTGAGGAAAAGGGTTAATTAAACTGCAAATAAATCAAATCGGTAATTTACACGGTGAATTTTAAAATAAAATTAAGCGGTAAATCACAATTAAAATCAGATGAAACTAAACCGTAAAATTACGATTAACTGAACGGCAACAGTCTGCCTGTACGGTGTACCTTGATGGCCTGGCCCATCATTTTGAGGGAATCCTCGGGGCTGCGCTGCGGGTCCATGTTGAGGGCGGCGGCGATGACGACGTCGGGGAAGCGGGCGTCCTGCAGATCGATCGGGAGGACGTGCGTCGTCAGCGTGGAGGAATCTGGACAGCGAAACGTTCAGCAAAAAGGCACTGAGTGCCAATAAAGAAGCGACTTCTCACCGGACAAGTAGAGGAGCTTCTCCTTGGGCGCCTGGATGAGCCAGTTGCAGGAGCCCATGCAGAAGCCGGAGCTGTGCGCCGTGATGCTCAGCGAGTTCTCCAGGAAGAGCGTCTGCCGGAAGTTGATCACCTCCAGCCGCTTCAGCGACGTCTCCAGCGCTTCCGTCGAGCACAAGGACTGCCACAGTTCCGGCCGCGTGTTCTGCAGCACGGCGGGGAGGAGCTGCTTCACTTCCTTCACTTTCCACTTCTCCGCCTTCATCGGGCTCCCGTAGCTGTCCAGATAATTGATCATATCCTGAAAAGGGAATAAGTACTGCAATTTAGCAGCTACAACAGCACAACACATCGAAAAAATGGTAAATTTTAAAAACAATTTATAACCAAATAAAAAAATTAATTTATCAAGAAAAATATGGAAAAACCAAAGAAAAATTACTTGAAAATTTATATAATTTTAAAATGAGTTCTTCATCGAAGATGTAGAGAAGAAGCGAGTTTTGCTAAGAGTTAAGGTAACAGAAATCTGCGTACTGACTTGGAAGACATCGCGCGCCAACTGCACAGTGGGCGCGGTGGCGAAGATGCGTCCGTGGAAGTTCTTCTCTTGAATGAGATAAGGCAGCGCGAAGAGCTGCGCGAAGTTGGAGATGAGGACGTAGTGCAGGTCCTCCGGCGTGATCTGCTGCAGGTCGGGCAGCTGGAACTCGATGGCGCCGTTGAGGAGCAAGTGGCCCTCGTTGATGAGGATCTCGTTGCGCGTGCTGTACAGGAAGGGATTGTTCTCGCTCTGCGGCCAAATGGGCATGCCCGCCAGTGATGCAGTGAACACTTGCGACACGGGCAAGAAGTGCAGCACGGAACGGGCGTCCAAGCCGCAGTCTAGCAAGAGGAACGTCTCGCCGTACTGCACGAAGAAGCAGGGACGGTTCGGGTTGTCCGATAAAGACTTGACGAAGGAACTCATTTTCGCTCAAAGAACTCACAGCAGTTGCGTGCTGTAGAGTATAGAGCCCAAGGCCCAAAGATTCAGATACACCGATTCTGCTCACATCGGCGACTGTCTGTTTATCAACCGCGAAGAAAACTACGAAGGACTACGAAAACAACAATCTCAAGGACAGCAAGAACAAGCAAAATTTTGTCCACCAAAAATCAATTGCAATCAAAAATTTATTTTTCAGATCCTCAGAGTTCAACAAAAAGGCAGAAAAGTAAGTAAAACATGAACGAGCACGCTTTATTGTGAGTGCTGACGGTTTGAGTGGAAGCGCAGTGACGACGCGTCGATATTAGACAGTACAGCATGGACCATGGCTTGCAGTCTCAGTCTCAGCCTCAGCCCTCGCGCTGTGATCCTGATTTCTTGGTCTTGGTCTGGTCTGACTCGGATGCAGTGCATCGATAAAGCATGAGTAGCGAGAGTGACTGATCACGGATGTTGAGTTCCTGTAACACACGCTGCACTGTGCGATTTCGTTGGAAAAATAATCATTCAATTTCATTTGTCGAGGTTCCGTGCATGTTTACGGCCGTGTGTAGGTGCTGAGCATCTTGACCATGAAAGTTTGTTTATTTTGGCCCGCTGCTGCGCTTTGTTGGCTGGCTGACAATGCGCTGCGCGTGTGAGTGACGGGAGAGCAAACCGGTTTGGCCTGCGCTAATCGCCAGCACCAAGCATCTCCGATATCCACATGTTTTTCCGTTGATCACGTTGGCGACAGTGTAGCCGTCTTGCAGATCGGGTTGGCCGTCGCATGATCACCGATTCGCAGGTGTCGCGGAGGGAGAAATCAATCGCACTGCATAGTGCATAGTACTGCATACCTCGCTGCATTCTCGACGCGCCTGAGCAGCCTAACCAAACGACAGCCAGTGTTTGCTCTGTCCACACTCTACTCTACGGACAGTGACTGTCATGTCTTGGAAAATTGCTGGATCGTGTCCTTCGTGATTCCCGACTGATCTGAACCATGGCTTCCTCCTCCCCCCAGACCCCCCTCACCCGCCGCGCCCCCACGGGGACGCTGATCACGGATGTGGGCCAGAGCACTTTCTACGCCAAGGAGAATCCCAGTCGATCGGTAAGTGTCCATTTCCCACAGCCTGGAGCTTGTTAGTAGGTGTTGCCCTTGAATTTGCAGGTGTCGGTGCGTCTGCGCCCCCCGCGGGGCACCCCCACCAGCAGCAGCCTGTCTTCCTCGTGCAGCGTGGACGGGACGCTGCGGCAACACGCCAGCCTCCCTCGGGACGGCAGGTACGACGTTTATACCTTCGTGTAGCGCGATGTGATGGAATCTTCGGTTGCAGACGCTTCTTATCATCAGCCGCGAGCGACTCGCGCTTCCCGCGCTTACAGGACTGCGCGCACTTCCACTATGAACGCGTCGGGCTCAGTCGACTGCAGGTACATACACGGTCATTGTCAGGCTGCAAACATACAGCGCTGCATTGCGCGGTGCACGGCGTGTTTACTCGGCGCGGCGGTGTTGTTGACGGCAGCGCCAACTGGTAAATAAACAGTGCAACAGCCGGGCAACTGTATGTATTTGCCAAAACCGAGGCTGTGCAGTTCATTTGCTGCACTGAATGAGCGGCACTGTTTCACCGCTGGTTTTATGCCGCGCTCACTGTGAGTAGGATGTCGGCTGCTAGAATGCTATTAGCGCCAGCGAGTGGAGATGGGGTGGGCGTGTTGGCGTTGCTGGTTCGCTGACGCTCGGCCAGTGCAACTGCGCGTCGGCGTTGAGATGGAGTGGCTGCGGCCAACGTTGTCGCTTGTGTTTCAGTCAGTAAAACACATGCTCGTTATATACAGGTCTCGTTATACCAAGGCGCCACAGCATCGCTGGTCTCCTCCACCGAGTGCTGCCTGTCCGACGACAACAAGTGTCTGGCCAACAACAGTTCCGACGCGACATCATCCGCGCTGCGCTGGGCCTCCCGCGCGGTATACCACGGCGTGGACGAGGCATCGGGGGAGTTGTTCTTCACGCTAAGCGTCAGCTGCAACGCCAAACACTGGCTGATCCGCCGCTCCTGGCCGCATTTGCTTAAATTCGACAAGCAACTGCACACCTGCTGCTACGACCGCGGATTCAGCCAACTGACGCCTCTGACCAGTCTGGGCGCCGGCCGACCGGATGGCGGACGGGAAACTATCGAGGTAAGGTGGCTGCAATGGTAATCCTGCTCTCCGTACTCCTGGTCATCCGCTGCACTCGATTGCCACGGCATAAAGGCCTTTTGTGGGCTGTAGTGCTGTGTAATGAATGATCTCTCAAATTGCCCGTCAAAGTAGGTCGAGTGAATGCAATCGATTGCGTGGCCCGCAGCGCTATTGCATTGGCTGTTTGCTGCGCTTCTATAGAATCAGGTTGCCCTGTGAGTTATTTACCTCATCGGAATGCCGTCGTCTTCCGCTTTATTATCACTCTGCTCTTTATTGGCATTATATGCATCTTTTTCATACTGTTATGTATTTCTCCTAAATCAACCGTCAGTTTCGGCGTAATGAGAGCAGACGCATTGCTCTGCATCAGTGGCGCTGAGCAGCGCTCTTCAGCGTCTTAGTTGGCGTGTACTGCACGTATGATACACTGGCTCGTTACGTGAACGGTCTAGCTTAATTGTCCATTTCCCTGTCCGTTACTGTGTAGTGTTAAAGTGTTGGTGCAGTGCTAATGAGGCTCTGGATGCGTGTTTGCATGTGCATGTCGCGCTTCACCGGTTGGCTACAGCTGTACGTGGCCTGCGTGCAGTGCATGCGTAATGTTGTTTCAGCGTGTGGGAAAGTGTGTTAATAGAGTTGCGACGGTAGTGGGGGCGGTGATTGCAGAAAAGACTAGATTTGTGTAGTTTTGACATGTCAAGACGGGTGTTGCGCTGGTCGTAGGCTCTGAAGGGTCCGCTCAGTGCGTATCTGGCCCGCTTCTCCCAGATTGCCGGCAATCTCATCAACTGCGCTCCGGTCCTTAGCTGGTTGGAAGTAAGTCTGGCTACTTAGCTGCTAAATGATGGTTAAATGATCCAGGATAAAATTGAAATAGTTTTCTTCCAAATGAAATTTTGAGGATTTTAAATACGATCTTTTTGAAGTTTATTTTTCGAGTATTGTTTAATAAACTGAAATAAACAAATTTGAATATCGTATGATTCGTATTAATACCTATCGGTACTGATATGATTTTATCGTTATTTCCCACAGTTTTTTCGCTGTATTAAATCGGCATTTCATTTGATCTGTTTGTCCGCCTAAAAAAATTAATTGAAAGTAATTGAAAAAAGCTGTTTTACTTCATATTTCAAACCGTCTCAAATATTCAAAGCCCGGTTTGTTTTTCGAATGATTTGGAACGAAATAAATTTTTGAAACTAAAAAACGTTTTGTACTTAACTCATTTCCCGAAATGTTTAACCAAGGATATTAAAAAATTAATTATCGTTATTGATACGAGTATATCGTATTTCATATACGATTTATCGTATTTCAGCAGTTTTACTTATCGTATGTTATGAAATCGGCGTTTGATTTATCAGTTTATTCACCTAAAACAGTTAAAAAAATAACTTAGATAATTTAGTTGTTTATTTTAAACCGTTTCAAATACTGGAAGGCATTGCTGCTGGAAGACTTCATTTCGAAATGATTTTCTTCGAAGGTTAGAAATATGAAAGGTTTGACTGGGGTTGAGCTAAAATCAACGGAATCCCTTGCCGAAAGAAATGCTTTTATCTAGTAATTAACAGAATTTCTGTGTTCCCGTGCAGTTAGACAACCGGGGCTTCCATCTGGTGGCCTGCGCCTCGGACGGCTCGGCCATCAACACGCCGGCCGTGGCGGCCGTCCACGTGGTGAAGCGCTACGTGCCGCAGCTGGACGACGAACTGGCGCTGGAGGTGAGTGCCAAATACCAATGCGACGGGCGTCGATTATTCGTTATCTTGCTTGCTCAGCCCACAAGACAGACTGTCTTGTCGCGGTCGGTTTGCACTCGATGGCGTGTGTACAGTGTTTACAGCGCTGTTTACTCACTTGTTTGCAGGTGGGCGACATGATCTCGGTGATCGACATGCCGGCCGGCGAGGAGTCCATGTGGTGGCGCGGCAAGAAGGAGCTGGAGGTCGGCTTCTTCCCCGGCGACTGCGTCCAGCTCATCTCGCGCGACAAAATCCCCCACGGCACGCCCGACGCACGGCGCTGCATCACGTCTCTCAGCCATGAACAGCTGCCAGGTATAACCTTAATGCACGACTAATTAGACGTTCAGTTAATTTATCACTGATTTGATATCCAATAAAATTAAGTAAACCTGGAATTTATTTGAATCTTGTAATTGCACCGTAAGTTTGATTGAATATAAATTAAGTCGAGTACGTGCGGACGACAGCGAAAACGTTGGTGTCGATCGATTCTCCCCGGAAATGAATAACTTATAAGTATGTTTTTGTAGTATTGCGGAAACAGAGCAAATTTGCCAGTTTCTTCCGTTCCTTCCTCTCCAACCGCCCCACCCGCCGCCGCCTGAAGGAGTCCGGTATTTTACGCGAGCGTATTTTCGGCTGTGACCTCGGCGAATATCTCATGAACGGTATTCTTCACTCTTACAATTATAGCAGTATATTAATTGAAATTTGTTATTATAATTATTTTAAATCAGAATTTTTGTTTCGTGCGATGCGTGAACATAACCCGTGCATTGCAGCCAGCAGTGGTGGCGCCGAGGGTGTCGGCCTAAAAGTGCCGGCCGTCTTAATCCACTGCGCGGCCTTCATCGAGCAGTACGGCATCATCGACGGGATCTACCGTCTGTCCGGCATCCAGTCCAACATCCATCGTCTGCGCCAGGAGTTCGACGCCGACCACGTGCCGGACCTGGCCAACAGCGAGCTGTACATGCAGGACATCCACTCGGTGGCCTCCGTCCTCAAGCTCTACTTCCGCGAACTGCCCAACCCCTTACTCACGCACCAGCTGTACGAGCAGTTCGTCGAGGCGGTGCAGGCCGCCGAGGAGCTGCGTTTACTGAAGATACACGATGTCGTTAGCCGGCTGCCGCCGCCGCACTACCGCACGCTCGAGTATTTGATGCGCCATCTAGCGCGCATCGCTTCCGCCGCGGGCAGAACTGGGATGACCTCGAAAAATTTGGCGATTGTCTGGGCGCCCAATCTTCTCCGGTAAGGTTTTTTGACTGCCCTAAGTTTCGGAGTTTCTTTTTTAAAATGCTGTCGGAAAAAAATGCAACCAACCGAGTGGGGAAATTTTTCGGCTGATTTCCACGATTTTTTAGAATTTTTTGAATGATTTGTTGCAGTTTTATTCATTCTTTGAAATTTTTTAGAAATATTTTTGGCTGTTTTATTATTAATTGGCCAGTTTTGTAGGATTTGTAAAATATTTTTAAAATTTGCGGCGATTTTTTAATACATGTATTTCACAGTTTTTGAACGTTTTTTTGGGTTAATTTGGTCAGTTTGAAATTTCAATATTTTAATTTTAATGCCCTAATTATCGTAATTTAAAAGGAACTGATTTTTGAAATTTCTCGCTAGATCGTCGGAATCGGAGTCGAGTCTGGACGCGTTGAAGGGCGTGAGCGTGTGCGCCATCGCGGTGGAGTACCTGGTGAACTACGCCGAGCTGATTTTCAGCAGCCAGATGCAGACGCCGGCGCTGCTCAGTCGTTCCGGTAGGCCGCCCTTACTTGGCGCTGTATGAATCTGCAACGCATGATGAGCGCATTTGATGCTGTATTAGGCATGAGCGGGCTGAGTGGCCGGCCCAAGTCGCTGGCCGTGTCCAACCCCGCCAAACTCCTCACGCTCGACCAGGCCCGCAGCGTCACCCGCGCCAACCCCTCCCGGAGGCGCTGCCCGCCTTCGTCGAGGTCGGCGCCGGTCCGCACAACCTTCCCCAATTCCACACCGTCATCGAGCTGCCCAAATCACGGTAGGAGTTTTCGAACAAAAACGCTCTGTATATCGTATTGCGACGACCTTGAAATATATGTTAATATTAAAAATTAACTGGATGGAACAATTTAACCAGGCTGGTAAAATGTTTTCGAAACGTAACAAAAAAAATGAATACTATACAAAAATGCCCAGAACTAAGCAAAGAAATTTCTAGGATTGTATAAAAAATGTTATAAAATGTTAGTTTTAAAAATAAGTTTTAAAAAATGAGAATTAACCAGAGAATTTCCAGAGAGGTAAAAAATGTTTAAATTTAACCATGTATTTTTAAACAGTATAAAAAAGATTGGAAAGTATTTAGAAAAATTCCAGAAATTAAAATTTGCATTATACCGTTTGATTTTAGTGGGAAACGGCGCAGTCGCAGCGTCAAGGACCGTAAGACCTCCTTAACGTGGCGCAGCATCCTGCCCGGGCAGCGCAGCCAGCGCAAACAAGTGTGCAGCGACCGCTTCCTTCCGCTGTCCTTACACTCGCCCCCCGGGGCCTCCCAACTAGACTCCCGATTGTCCAGCAGCCGCTCCGTGGAGTCCGTCTTCCAGGTGGCCCGCAGCGCCCCCGACCCGCTCCTCCTGCACTCCACCCTCCCCGAGGAGCCCGTCTCGGCCCCCGTGCACCCGCCCCTCACCCGCTCGCACTCCAGCCCCGTCAGCCACAGCCGCTCCGTCTCCCACGAGTCCTACTTCGTCCGCAGCGGCTCCCTGGGCTTGACGCGGCCCCGCCGCATCATCGACGTGGTGCGGACGGTGCGGTATGATCAGTGCGAGGGCGGACTGCTGGTCAAGCTGTCGTTTGATGAGGCCGTGGAGAACGCCATGCAGGTGGAGGCCGGGATACTGAATGAGACGCTGGTGGCGCCCGCGACCCCGGTGGAGGTCCGCGCGGAGGTCGTGGAGCCCGTGCCGGTGCGGCAAGCGGCGCGGGTGACGTCGAAGCGGCCGTACCGCGCCCTGTCGCCGCTGGTGCTGCGCCGGCATCGCAGCTGGGTGGCCGAGGAGTCCAAGCAGGAGAAGACGGCGAAGGGACGCTTTGTGAAGGCCACGACGTTCCCGCGGCAGACTAGCGGGATCAAACGGTGTTTGAGCGCCTCCCCTAAGACTGTACGTTAGGAAGAAATATGGAAAAATAAATTTAGTAAATAACGTAGAAATTTCATTAACAATTAATGATAAATTTAACAATAAATTCTAAATAAAATCGGCGTAATAAAAATGATGGTGAATATTTGTTTGTAAATAGGGTCGACGCGTGGAGGTGGATCGCGACGCGGTCTCGCTGGTGCTGGGCAAACGCGCCTCCGACTCCTGTAGTTCATCGTCGTCATCCGGACGGAAATCCTTCCGCCGCAGCGCCGCGGAAGAGGACGCGGACAGTCTCGTGGTTGTGGCAGCGGAAGCGCCAGTGTCCGTCGTCGTGGCGGTGGTGCACCACCAAGAGCAGCAGCAGGAACAGCAGGACATCGAGGAGGCGTGCCAAGCCATCTGTGATTCATTCCCCGGCCAAATGGACGCCGAGACGACGGTTACCCCCAGTGCGCCGTATCTGGAGGATGTCGAGGACGCAGCGGATGTGGCCACCACCCCCGAGATCGCCGCCACCTTCGTCTGGCTCGACAACGCCGAATGCTCGTCGCTGTCGTCGGCGTCCAGCTCGTCGTCGCTGAATTTACTCGATGCGGAAGACGCGGATAGTAAAACAGAAGGGGAAGAAGAGAGTGTTGTCCCGACGCCGTCGCTGTTCTTGTTCGGACTGCCCAGTCGGCCGGAACTGTGTCGCACGGCGTCCGTTCCCGTGGGGAACGGCGCGGACGAGGCCACCGCGTCCGAGCCGGTCAGTGTGAAGCGTCACAGCTATTTCTTCGGTCAGAGCGACGCGGACTGGGTGAAAACTGATTCCGCGGAGGAGAAACAAGCCGAGCAGCGGATTTTGGAGGCGGAGGAAGTGCGCGCGTCCTATCTGTTTTCCCAACCTATTGCTGATCTGGGTGCGTCTTCTAGCCGCGTTTACACGCCGGTGGCGGCGTCCAGCTTGGCTGAGACGCTGGAGGAGATCGCCAAACAGCTGCCCAGTCTCCAGCCGCTCCCGGACACCGAAATTCCCGAAATGGATGACAAAACGCATCGTGAAGTGGAAAATGAAGCGGCGGAGGTCAGCAGCAACATACAGGCCGACGGGTACCGCTGGATGGACAGCTCCAGCGAGTCCCTGGCCGCGCCGACGTCGGACACCGACGCGGCGCTCGAGCCGACCGCGGAGCCGCGTAGTGACGGGAAAACCGGTGAAGAAACGACGGAGAACGTCCCGGACACCCCGTGCAGCGTCCGCGCGCTGCGCTGCCGTTTCGAGGCCGACCGGAAGCCGGAGCCGGTGCCCAAAGCGCCCACCGGCGTCACCCTGGTGCGCAGTCCGACGCGGGAGTCGCTGAAGAGCAAGCTGGACGCGTTGAGCGACGTGTACTCGTCCGAATCGACGGAGGCGGACGAGCCCGTCGCCTGGCATGCCCCGCTGCCGTTCAGCCGGAAGTGGAGCGTCCCCGCGCCGGTGCCTATCAAGTCAGAGGGCTCCACGGGGTTCCGCTGGCCGCCGGAGCGCGAGGAACCCAAAGAAGAGAAGGAGCGGAAGGAGGACGGCAAGGAGAACAGCGACACCGTCAGTCTGTCGGAGGAGGGCGGGACCGGCGCCGGAAGTGGCGGGAGGAAGGGGAAGAAGGTCAGCCAGATGTGCCAGATCTTCCAGACCCCCGAGGCGGTCGCCGCCCCGTCGCGGGGTGGTACGTTGACCGCCCGCGGGACGTCCGGGCGCGCAGCGTTGAGCAGCAGCTCGGTGCGGTTGTTGCCGCAGTATTACTCGTCCGTTTAGCGCGTTGAACGGAATAACGCGCGTTGAATCGTTGAACGGTTTAGCGCGTTGAACGGAACGGTTGTTTAGCGCGTTTGAGCGGAATGGTGAGGAGATTTCGGCGAGGGCGTTCCCGATGGATTTCGACAGGAAGGGAGGTTAACCGTTGGAATGATTGACATTTTTTTCCTCGTTTTACGCCGACTTTTACTGGTTTCAGTAGCGTTAACTGCTTCTTCCAGCTAGCCTTCTTTAGTTTTGTTTTTCCTCTGTGATTTTGACATCTCTGCGCGCCTTTTTTTGCGTTTATTCTCTCACCGCGTTCGCGTCGTCCCGATGGTTGGTGGTACACTTGTACGTACTCGGAATGGATAGAATGGAATACTCGTAGAATCCTAACGAAATAATTATTGATTTCTACTGTATGACGTATGTGTTCGATGTTATCTTCCGTGGGAATGATCGTTCAACGCGAGCATTAGGTTTAATACTTTAATTCCACGTCTTTAGTAACAAATAGCACAATACTTTATTAAAAGTACATTATAAAAAAAATACGTACTCGGAATGGATAGAATGGAATACTCGTAGAATCCTAACGAAATCATCAATGAATTCTACTGTATGTGTTCGACTTTTTCTTTCGTGGGAATGATCGTTCCACGCGAGCATCAGGTGTAATTCTGCGTCGTTTGTAAGTTTGTGACAAATAACAAAATATTTTTTTAAATATAATAAATATTAAAAATACATTAAAATATAAAAATCAGTGAAAAATAAATATATAAATATGATAAAGTATGAATGTTAACCTAAAAATAATCAAAGCAAAGCGTTTGGGAGGAAAAAAGTGACCACGGTGGGAGTCGAACCCACAATCTCCTGATTCGTAGTCAGGCGCCTTAGCCATTGGGCCACGCGGCCATGTCGTTATAACCAGTGCATGGTGCACGCGCACAGCCTGTTTGGCTTTTCGCAGCGTTTGCGCAGAAAGTTGGATCTATTTACAGCCGGCTGCTAGCGTATCACCAGCAAAACTGCCAACCATCTGCACAAACCGTAAAATTGTAAAAAGTGCACCGGGAGCATGTTTATTTGATACTGCTAACGAAGTCGAAGATTTTGGTAGACTTTCACCAGCTGTTACTCGGTAAAGTAAAGCCTGGAAAAGTTCCTTTTTGTGTTCCCTGTACAGTTGTACGCATCACTGAAAGGTCAGCTGTTTTGAGTTGTTTTTCAGTTCCACAGACAATGAAAAAACTGATCACTGGTTTGATTTTCCAACTTACCGGTTAGGTTGGGCTAGGTTGTTGTTAACTGAAGTTGCGATGAAAGATGATCCCGTTCGAAAGCTTCCCTACATAGTACATACATATACATACGTAAATATAGACATAGAAAATGTCAATTTCAATGGCTGCTGTCAATATCTGAACGAACGCATTCAACTCGCAGTTGTTTCAAGTGTATTAAACTGTTAGATTGAATTAAATATTACTATTTTGAAAAGCGAGCCAGTGCGAGGAAAATCTGCAAATGTGTCTTTGTTCTGTCGGTCAGATGTTTCATAAATTTTACGGGTAGGAAAATCTCTTTACTGAACAAAGTTTTCCTTTTGTAAGGCATTCAAGTATGTATTACAAACATAATCTGATTATGGCAAGCCGGATAATAAAATTCAGTATGTGCGAGTACATATAGGTAGATATATATATGTATGTATACAATACATATTTATATACAGATATGTATTCGTATAAAATATGTGTACATATCTGTACATGTATATATACACATATGCGAATTTGCATTCCAGCGTATTGATAGTAAGTACTTCATAGTATTGCGTGTCCTATTAATGCGTATTCATAGCACTTACTTCAATGTTCCAAGCAACTAGAATTGTTACTATTTTGCAAGGTTACGGTGAAAGCTTTACCGAAGCCAGCTTTACCGGACCCGGCATCAGTGGCACGGGTTAAAAATATTTTTTTACGAAATAAAAGGCATGTGAAACAGTTTCTGAACATGCTAAATCTAAATATCTGATAGTATTTTCAATTATTTGTTTTAAATTTTGGAGTTTTTCCGACCTCGATGTCCCAGATTGTTTGTAGTCACATTAATATTATAGATCTTGGTTCGCTCTATGAGGCACTGCTACTGCTGGTCGTGCCCAGTGAATGTTTCGACAGAAACAATTCATAGATTCCCCACAGCGCCAGTCTGCTGAGTTGGCCGAGAGGCACACTTCTCAAGTCGACGTGGTCCCACGCGTGCGGACTGCCATCCGAATGGAACCCGCTGAATCTGCAGGCACAGCAACAGTGCTCGTATTTTTTTACCATTCTACCTTTTTAAATAGCAGCAGCAACGTTTAAATTTGAATCCTTACAAGTAAGCAGTATTACGCGAATGCACTTTTTCTTATATTGATGACCTTTGCCAGTACGCGTACTAGAACTACACAAACACATGTGCAGCTGATGAGATACCGGTGCATCGGTGCAGGTTAGACGACAATGCTTGATGACGTACATGTTGAGGAAGTAGCGGATGGGTTGCCATTCCTGCGGGTACTGCAGTGTCTGGCACCAGCGCGCGCGCACCGCCGCCACTTTGCTGCGAACGTCGGCCGTGGCCGGGGGCAACGCCCGGTCCTTGACCCACATCAGGCGCCGCCGGACCGGCTCCCAGCCGTCGCGGCACTCCAGGACCAGGCGGGCAATGTCGACCAGTGTCCCATCCAACACCGACTGCACATGTACACCATTGGGTCGGGCTTGGCCGAAGAAGCGGCGTTCCCTAAAGGGCAAGGAATGGAGGGCGTGTCCGTGCGACCACATTTCCTGATAAAGTTGTCCTTGCACTTGCCACCCCTCCAGGACAAGTTGTTGTTGTTGTTTTGTTGTTTAATGAGCTTAATGTCTACAACAATCAGGGATGTCCTGCACGAGGTCATAGACTAAAATGGGAGATAAGGCTATCGCATTAGCGAAAGCCTTACATTTAAAACATCACAAATTTAGACAACATACAGTTTTACAGTAAACAGTAATGATCAACATGAAGTTGAAGGAAACGCTTAGTCCATTTCAAATCCGCCATTTAACCGTATCCAGGCAAGAATCAAAACTGTTAATGCGGTTGTATGATTCATGGGGCAGTCTGATTTCATTCCACAAGTGCGCCATTAGATAGGCAAAGCTCCGTTCGCTGATGAACTTCCGTCCGTCCGAGGCGCACGTGTCCACGGGTTCCACTGCGTAGGGATGTTCATCAAGGGACGTTATCTGACGTGTTCTGCCTGCAATACAAACGGCGGCAGCACCAAGTTTTTCCCGAAGTTTGAAAAATTTCTCCCCATAAGGTACAAGACGGAACACCATCTTGTACATCAGGAGCAGAGATTTTCGGATACGACAAAATAACAGGGACTTGTAACCCGCTTTTTTTAACGTTTCGGCATACTCAAACTTGCAAGGTCCGAATCTGATACTTTTTAAAAATCGGTATTGGCAGTCTTCTAACCATAGAATGTCCAAGTTAGGACATTAGTGGTTCTATGGGAATGAACCTATAGACCAGGACACGAGTGGTTCACTTGGTTCTGAACCAATAGAACCAATAAAAAGACGCTAACATTAAATAGATCTAAGTGTACCTATAGAACCACACAGAACCACCGTAGAACCACTTTAGTACCACAACTGAACCGCGTCTGCTGTCAGTCGCTAACACGCTGCCGCACTACCCGTCTCCTGTCGTGAACCAGTGAACCTATAGAACCACACAGAACCACTATAGAACCACAAGTGAACCACGTCTGCTGTCAGTCGCTGACACGCTGCCGCACTACCCGTCTCCTGTCGTGAACCGGTGAACCTATAGAACCACACAGAACCACCATAGAACCACTATAGAACCACAAGTGAACCACGTCTGCTGTCAGTCGCTGACACGCTGTCGCATTACCCATCTCCTACTATGAACCGGTGAACCTATAGAACCACACAGAACCACCATAGAACCACTATAGAACCACAAGTGAACCACGTCTGCTGTCAGTCGCTGACACGCTGCCGCACTACCCGTCTCCTGTCGTGAACCGGTGAACCTATAGAACCACACAGAACCACCATAAAACCACTATAGAACCACAACTGAACCACGTCTGCTGTCAGTCGCCGACACGCTGTCGCATTACCCATCTCCTACTATGAACCGGTGAACCTATAGAACCACACAGAACCACCATAGAACCACTATAGAACCACAAGTGAACCACGTCTGCTGTCAGTCGCTGACACGCTGCCGCTCTACCCGTCTCCTGTCGTGAACCGGTGAACCTATAGAACCACACAGAACCACCATAGAACCACTATAAACCACAACTGAACCACCTCTGCTGTCAGTCGCCGACACGCAGTCGCATTACCCATCTCCTACTATGAACCGGTGAACCTATAGAACCACACAGAACCACCATAAACCACTATAGAACCACAACTGAACCACGTCTGCTGTCAGTCGCCGACACGCCGCCGCATTACCCCTCTCCTACTATGAACCGGTGAACCTATAGAACCACACAGAACCACCATAGAACCACTATAGAACCACAACTGAACCACCTCTGCTGTCAGTCGCCGACACGCTGTCGCATTACCCATCTCCTACTACGAACCGGTGAACCTATAGAACCACACAGAACCATCATAGAACCACTATAGAACCACAACTAAACCACGTCTGCTGTCAGTCGCCGACACGCCGCCGCATTACCCCTCTCCTACTATGAACCGGTGAACCTATAGAACCACACAGAATCACCATAGAACCACTATAGAACCACAAGTGAACCACGTCTGCTGTCAGTCGCTGACACGCTGCCGCACTGCCCATCTCCTGTCGTGAACCAGTGAACCTATAGAGCCACACAGAACCACCTTGGAACCACTATAGAACCACATCTGCTGCCAGCCGACGACAGGCTGCTTAATTTTTTCTATCTTCCCTGGGTCTACATAATTACTTTGTGGATTTAGGCGCGCTTAATGTCAGTATCTCTTGATAACTCAGTTCAAAACTGTTTTTTTATCGTTTTGATTCGGTGGTGTAAAAACGATTCTCTTAGACTTGGAAAAAATCAGCAGTAGTTTTTGCAAATAAAAAGTAAGATTTGAGCTAAAGAAAAAGCAGAAATTTTTAAGCGGAGAAATGATAGACACCGTCGCGGGTGTACAATTTTGGAGTTCATTGCACAACAATGGTATCAGTTTCCGAAATATTAATCCAATGGCATCTGGTTGTCGAGACCATCTGAACAGAGCTTCGCTAAATACTTATTGCGCCTCTTGATTAGCCGGTGCAAGAAAAAGAGCTGGCGATATTTGGTCATCTTGAGCAACGCGAATCTGTACCG